TAACGGTACCTTCCACGTGGCGGAGCTGGTCGAGGGGCAGCGTGGCTACCTCAAGGTCTGCTGATCTGTAAGGTTTATCAGAAGACAAACAAACAAGCCTTAAGAAAACCACCAAGCCATCCAATGCCATAAACTATTCTGTAGGTGTCAAGAAGTATGTACTTGTTTAAGATTTGACAGCTCACGTACAAGGAATACTGAGAGGACAAAGGTTTCTGCTCGGGTATTTGCAGTCAAGAAAGGGAATGACAGAGAAGAACTTACTGTGGAACCCTCTGTTCTTCCTTTTGTTTCTTGTCCAGCTGATTGAAAAAACTGATGATTCCTTCTAAAACAGTTTTCTTACTGCCCTGTAAGGTAGAGCAATTAATTATATTAAGCAACTGGATGGTCTGCAGGATCCCAGAGAGGTACTCTCTGTTCTTACACCAATTACAAACGTCCTGTGTTTCACTGCCTCCTACAACAGTCCTGGTATTCTTTGTCACCCTTCCTAAATTGCTGAGGCAGGGGAATGCTCTTGTGTACCTCATTTCTAGGTGAAGTTACTTGGTTCAGTCTGTCAGCTTCTTTTGATTGCAATTATTGAAGAGTTGCAAGAAACTGAATATCTCAGGTGTTTTTGTTTGTTGGTTGGTGAAAGATCCTTTCCAATTGATAAATTAGGAAGGCTTTCAAACTCCTAACCTTATTTCTGTCATTACATTGCAACTAATGGATACAAAAGACATCCTGTAACAGACAGATAATTTGTCATCGTCTCAACCACGTACTTTGGCATGCACGTGGTCACAAACAAAGCAAGAGAGCCAGAACACCAAAGAAGGGCAGGCATGTACCTGGCAGCCTCTGCCTGCTGGACAAGCACAGGAGGTGAGACATTTCTAGTACAAGCCAAACTACAATCCAGAAGAGAGTCACACTGCACAAGCCACTGTTTTAATAGAAGCAAGCAGATCACAAACAGTGAGCAAAGCCACGCTTAAAAATACTGAAGACAATCCACTCTGCTACCTCCTGCTCTGAGGTCATCCCTTATTTCCCAGAGGTTTGCTCTTACAGTTTCCCATAAGCAAGAACAAACGGTATCTTCCTCTCAGCTCCTCCAGGCTAAAGATAGAGGACAAAAAGCAACAAAACCAAAAAACCTGATGATGTCCTGCTTTCCACAGCACAAAGTGGGAGGAATTGGAATCCCCTAGAATTCAGCCCCTGTCTCAGCCTGGTGTACTTTTCCTCACATGCTCAGGGGGAGCAGCTCCCACAAGCTCCTACCTTTGCAGAAAGCAGCAGCAGCTGATAGACCAGGGGGGGTATTTCCTGCAGGTCCAATTTGGAGAACATCCTAAGGACCTTTTCCACCACAAACTGCAGCTCCTCTCCTGAGAGTGGAATATCCCTGTTGAATCAAAGATGCAGTCTAGTCATTTTTATTCATTTCTTTCAGAATCCTGCAGCAGATTCAATCCACAAGAGCTCCCAAAGTCCTCGTCAGAACATACTCTTAATTTGTCAAGGCTCACAAATGAAAAACCACACATGGAAAAATCACAATCCCACTCAAAAGGCATCTACAAGCAAGCATACTCATACAACTCATACAAATTCATACAACCATACACCCACACAGCCACTGTTGGTCTGTAACTCAGGGCACTAACAACATTCCCTATAGCACTGGGCTTACAAAGGAAAATACAACAGAAGTCTCTGCTCTTAAGCTGCCAACAGCCACTAAATATGGGGCTGTGAAAAGCTGGGAAGCACGCTAGGCTCACAGCAGTCTTTGGAGCATGCTTGCCCAGCTGTGTTTTGTATCCACACAGATCTGATGTGGATGTTCACTGGCCAAAGCATTCATGGAGCTGTGTCTGGTGTGTCCAAACTGTGCTTTCCCCAAACTACACGTGGAATGGGACACAGACATAACTGCAGCACAAGGCACTGATGCTTGCTAAAGGGAAACAATTACCTGAACATGTTGGCAAGATGTATTACACACTGAGGATCCCACCTGGTAAAATAAGCACTTGTCAGAAAACTGAGAGGAAGTAGAATTATTTTTTACTCCTTTATCCACTTTTCCTGTCTCCCATATCAAGATTAGAAGCCAAATTCCCAACCAGAATCAACCACTGCCACCCTAATTATCCAGACTTAGAATGGTTCCAAACTGTCCTGGTCCCCACAATAACAAATGTCAAGAAAGGAATAAAACCTAGCACTTCCTGCAATTTGTTCATGAGACACTATTCCAAAATCTGGAAATAGGGCATTCCCTCACCCTCCCAGCTAGAAAAGACTGTCATGGTAGCACAGCTTCAGTGATGTTAGAACAGGAAACAGGCAGTGCCACTGAACTCCTACTCAAAGCATAACATGAAACACATAACATCATATGCCACACAATTAAGAGGAGACAATAGGAATATGGACACATCCAGTGACTGCAGATTTAACTCGCTTCATAACTGTAGGGTGTCAAAGGAAGTTCTGTAAAAAGCCCAAATAGAAAAAGGCACCAACTGATTTTTAAACAAACTGAAGCCCAGTGGAGCTGGCAGAGATGCACGTACTTGCTGGAGCAGAGGGTATTTATCAGCTGTTTCTTAAATTCTTCCCCATTCAGTTCACCTGAAAAAACATGAGGCTTTCAGGAACCCACTCCAGAGGGGGTGAGGACAGACTGGGGAGAAGGAGATGAGAAGGGTTACCTTTCCCATAAGCCAGGCTCTCCTTAGAGTTGGACAACGCGGTAAGAACAGTGGAAAACAACTCCAGAGATTTCCCATTAGACAGGCTGCCTCCCTTAATAACTTCAACAAACGAGGTGGCAAGTTCAGCCAACGCGTGGCCTGGCAGCTGGCGAGCCTGGGAGGAAGTGGAATAACACTGAAGATGGGCACAGGAGAATTCCTTGCACGTGTCCAAATGCTCACCAGATACCAGAAAAGGACAACATTTCCCACAGTGCAACATTCCTAAAAAATGAGTTAATCCCCAAGGCCTCTATCTCATGCTGTCCTTCATAGAATGGAGCAGTGAATCAAATAAATACAATTACGATTTTGGAAGTCAGATCTAAATATCCAGAGATCATATTACATGCAAGGCAAATTCCAAGACCAAAGCAGATCTGTGGATAGGACATCACTCATTTTCCTCAGAGGTCTGGTGAAGTGCCTCAGTTTGCTCACTAAAGGACCAGAGGAAAGCCAGCACAAATAAGCTCCTACCTCCAGCATCAGCAGCCCTATGATTTCGGACACTTTGCCCACATGCAGGTCTCCTGATTCCACAAGTGGGACACAGTGCTTGTAAACCTGCAGCCTCCTGAGAACACCGCTTGGCTGGGAACATGGGGAGCCTTATCGTGAGAAAATGAAGAACGGGAAAAGAGTTATACAAGCAACAGCATGTCACTAAACAGGAAATTTGTAGGGCTGAACTGTCACCCAACCGCAGCTCCCTTTTTTATATATTTGACAGAACAGATAAAAAAGCAAAGTAGAGGAAATGAGAATCTCTAGGATAAAACAGTTGAAACACTCAGCACCGTTATCACACTCTTTGGTTCTCTCAACTTGCTGTCCAGTCAGGAAGCACCAACGTTTTGAGAAGAATTTGCTTGGTAACTCAGCTTCAGCTGGCCAGTTCCGTTCTACTGAAAGACACCTAAAGGCTCCCAGAAGAAAATCCCATACGGAGTCACAGAATGGCTCGGGTTGGAAGGGACATTAAAACCTACCCAGCTCCAACCCCCTGCCATGGGCTGGGGGCGGCTCAGGCTGCCCAGGGCCCCATTCAACCTGGCCTTGAGCACCTCCAGGGATGGGATAGCTCTGTGGGCAGCTGTGCCTCTTAATGAAAAAAACTCCTAACATCTAACTTAGACCTCCCCTCTTTTAGTTTAAAGCCTCACCTCCCCTCTTCCCCACCAGGCCCTGTCCCCATCAGCCCCCAGACGCATCACCCACCTCTGAAGATCCCCCTGAGCAGCGCTGCCGTCTCCCTGCCCCTCAGGGCTTGCCTCGTCACCATGTCACCCAGCTGAAAGAGAAGGCCGCGCCGTCAGCCTGACTTGAGAGCAGGAAAAGCCGCTCCCCGCCCTCCCGACAGAGCCGGCGGAGCACCCTCTCCCCCAGGCACCTCGCCTTCCGCCAGGCCCTGAAGAGCCTCCTGGAGTCGCTCCGGGCTCTCCTCGGCCGCCAGCTGCAGGATGCGCTGCGCCATGGCACGGCCGCTGTCATCCGCCGCAGCGCCGAAATTCCCGCCCGGAAGCGCCTCTCATCGCCATAGCAACAAGTCCCGCCCTCCGTACGTCACTTCCGTTCTCCGCGAGAGCTCCGCTAGGCCCCCTCCCCCCCCACCCGGTCAGCGGGTTCGAATCCCGCGTGCGGTTCGGGGAGCTGGTGGGGGCGATCCCCGGGCACAAAGCGCCTATTGAGGTCCCCCTCGCGGAGCCGTCCCGGCCACTGCGAAGGGTTTCACGTGGGCACGATGTGCTGGCGCCAGGCCGGGCACGGGGCACGAGGGGCCCTGTGCAGCGTTAGCAATCCCTAAATCCGCGTGTTACAAAACATGCCTTGTGTAAGCCCCTTCCTCCGCTCCCCCAAATCCCCAGAGCAGCGGGAGAGCGGCCAAGGCCCGGCCTCAATGGGCTCCTGTTCTCACTTCCCATCGCAGCTTTACCCACAGGTCTGGGGGAGCACGCAGTATGGCACCAACCCCACAAAGCCGCCCCAAAGGCCCCATTTGGACGCCATCTCCACGACTCTCCCCCATCTTGTGCCCACATCCCAAAGGCTGACTGCTCTCCAGCACGAGGATCACTGGAAGCTCCACCTGTGGTCTGCGTCCCACCACCATCCCTGCACCCCCACCCGGCTCCTAGGGCCGGTGCAGGGGGTGGCACGCTGCCCACCCCCAGCCCCGCGCTAATGAGCACAGTTACACAATGGGAAGCTTTTATACACCCTTAATCGGGCCCAGCATCCCGCCCCTCCGCGCGCCCTCTGGGCCTCCAGCTCCCTCCTTCCCTCTCCCCATCAGCCTTTTGGAAGGCTTTAGTGGGGTTTCCTGCCTGGTTTACGCGGACTTAATGATAAAGCTGCGGTGAGTTGATGCCTTGTGACGGCCTAATCCCAACCCGGTGACTCTACAAAGCTTTCGCTGGGATTTCGTGCTGCTCCACTCTGCTCCTGCTGCCCAGCCCTGCTCCAGCAGCCCCCAGGCCCTCAACCTCCACGGTCGGTTTGGCATTCTCTGATCCTGGTAAGTATGGGGACAATGTACACCTCATACATTGGCACTGGATGCCATAACCTGGACTACCCTGACCTCCAGAGATGGCTTTGATTTTGGGGTCTCAAATAATGGGGTGCTTGTGGGGGAAACCCTGGGATGCATTGGGACACATGGCAGACACATCTCTGACATGGGCTGAGCAGCAAGAAGGGTGCTGGGCCGGTGACGAGGAGGGCAGCCTTCCTCCTCATTTGTCTGCATTAAGAGGAAGAAGATGAAAGGATTGCCTGAAGGTTTTCTGCACTGCCCTCAAGCAAAGGTGCAGACAGCAAGCCTTGGAGTGGTGAGGGAAGAGTCCAAGGACCAAGGGAAGCATTTGAGACCCCATTTGCTCAGTAGGACTATGGCAGTGCCAGGGTTCCCTGTGCTGGCATGAGGTCCATTGGCAACCATGGGACAGCCCAGCAAGCCAGGTCTTTGCTATCTTGTCCTGTGCTGCTCTGGATGCAGACAGAGGTGAGTTCATGAGGAAACCCAGGGATGCCTCTGCCCACAGCTTCCCATCAAGACAAAAAATGCTGAAGACATCAGATGATCATTGCTCACTTATTTATGCTGTGAAGAGTCCTGGTGTTTCTCAAGCATTTCACTGTCCATCAGGCTTCTAGCACATCCTCTGTGGGGACTGGGCAAGAGGGATGGGGCACCAAGATTGCAAAGTCTTCAGATACCCACAGGTAATCCCTCCTTCTCTCTTCCAGCATACTGCAGCTGATCAAGTCTAAAAGAAGACATGTCTGCTGTTGTGAGTACTGCCCCATCCCTATCCCACTGCACCACTTGGGTGCAACTCTGTCCTTCCCTAGAGTAACCTGCAAGGCACTGGGGCTGTCCCCAGCCTTGTGGGGCAGGGGGGCAGGGAGATTGGGAGCTGTCAGCAGAGGATGCCTGATGCTCCTCATCCTCTCGCCCCAGACGGGGACCTTCCGCATTGTCTCAGAAGAGGAGCAGGCACTGCGCACCAAACTGGAGCGCCTCACCACCAAGGACCACGGCCCTGTTTTTGGGAGGTGCCAGCAGATCCCCCCTCACACCCTGCAAAAGGTGAGACGTGGCCCTACTGTGAGTGGGGCACAATGGGGGAGATATGCTCTGACCACGCTGCTCTTTGGTGCCAAAATGCACCCTGGGCTGCTGGATCCGGTGGCCCTGTGGGGTGCCCAGGTCCCAGGGCACTGTGTGGGTGCTGAGGACCCCATCCTGACTCTCCCCCAGGCAAAAGATGAGCTGAATGAGACGGAGGAGCAGAGAGAGGCAGCAGTCAGAGCGCTGCGGGAGCTGGTGCAGGAGCGGGCCGGCAGTGAGGATGTCTGCAAGGCAGTGGCTGAGAAGATGCAGGGGAAGGATGATTCCTTCTTCCTCCGCTTCATCCGTGCCCGCAAGTTTGATGTGCACAGGGCCTACGACCTGCTGAAAGGTGGGGGTCCTTTGGCATCCCCTTGCCTCTTTCCAGTACCTCCCAGTACCCTCAGTCCTTGGGCTGGGCTGGCAGGGACAAGGAGCGAGGAGGACATTGGCTGGGACCCACTCTACTCCTGTTTGCTTCTGCCAGGCAGATAATGAGTTGCAATTATCAGTGCTGGCTCCCAGATGAGCTGTTTTGTTCACCCAGATTTTCCCAGGACGTTTCCATATTTCGTGCCCACGCGGTGCCAAGTGGGGGGGAGCAGGGGCGGGGGGCTCCCCCAGCACTCCCCTGGCTTCCTGATGGGCAAGCAGCTGCTGTCCTACCCGACTCCTATCTCTCCCCAGGCTATGTGAACTTCCGCCAGCAATACCCCGAACTCTTTGACAACCTGACCCCTGAGGCCGTGCGCAGCACCATTGAAGCGGGCTACCCTGGCATCCTGGCCAGCAGGGACAAATATGGGCGGGTAGTGATGCTCTTCAACATCGAGAACTGGGACTATGAGGAGATCACCTTCGATGAGGTCAGCCCAGCCATTGCTCCCTGAACAGTTCTGCTCCTGGGGCTTCCTGCTGAGCAGAGCATCCCTTACACACATTTGTATGGGCACACATAACTCCCATCCATCCGGGTTTATGCAGAACTTGGAATTTATCCTTCCAGGGGAATCCGGTCCATCTCAAAGATTTCCCCTTCTTTCTTTCTGATGCGCAGGATGCAGGGCACAGTCAGGGTGTGTATCTCCCATCCTAGATGACACAGAGCGAAGGGAGGCATCACACCATTAGATCAGGGTGCTTTAAAAAAGAAAGACCTGCAGGGCAGAGAAGGAAGCTGGCACACGGCATGGAAAAGGCTTCTTGGCAAAGAGACCTTCAAGCATGAGATCACAAGTTCTTCCAGCTCTGTGTTCTGCTCAGCCCTGAATTTGCTGGCACTATATCAGAGCACTGACCCAGATGTGCGATACCTTGAGAGGGTTGTTGAGCATCCTCTGCAGTGCCCCCCTGCTCTGAAGCTCTGGGGCTGGCTGGGACAACCAGCTGAAGTTGAGCAGACCCAGACCAATGTTCCACAGGATCGCTGCAGGGAACCTCCTGAACTTTAAGGGAGGTGAGACCTTGCAGTCACACTAATAGCAGACCCTGCTGTCTCTCCTCTCAACCAGATCCTTCGTGCCTACTGCGTTATCTTGGAGAAACTGCTGGAAAATGAAGAGACCCAGATCAATGGGTTCTGCATCATTGAGAACTTCAAAGGCTTCACCATGCAGCAGGCATCAGGGATCAAACCTTCCGAGCTCAAGAAGATGGTGGACATGCTACAGGTGAGGTGGAGAAGACTGTGCCCGGGGCTAGCAGGGGTTTTGGATTGCCACTGCACTGTCACCATGAGAAAACACCACGGAGAGGCCATTTTCCATGTGATCTTGTGAAAAGGGAGCAATGAGTCATCTGGGAGGCTCTGCAGCTTCCCTGGTGCTCTGAGGACAGGGACAGCTGCTCCTCTGGGATCCTGCTGTTCATCAGAATAAGAAAGGGATGATGGAAGGGAAAATGGGAGGCTGGGGAAGGGGAGCGGAGGCAGTGCCAGTTGCAGTTCTTTTGCAGCTGTGCTCCTCTCCTGTTTTCTTGTGGCCAGCACAGTCTGTAACCAGCCATGTCTGGGTTTGGCATCCTAGGACTCCTTCCCAGCGCGGTTCAAGGCTGTCCACTTCATCCACCAGCCCTGGTACTTCACCACTACCTACAACGTGGTCAAACCGTTCCTGAAGAGCAAACTGCTGGAGAGGGTGAGCGTGGGGAAGGGGCCTAGTGGCAGAAGCTGGGTAAAGCAGTGTGGCTGGGGGGAGATGTCACAGCTTTTGGAGACGTGGGGACAAGCCTGGGCTGAGAGCAGCTGGTGGATGAGCTGGGCACGTCCCATGGGAAGGGGAGCCTGCAGCTAGGCAATGAGAAAGGCAGGCAGCTCATCAGATCAGCGCTAGGGTCCCTGGGCCATTTCTTTGTTGTGGGCAGAGTCACCCATCCCTGCTGAGGGTTCCTCTTGTGCCAGGTGTTTGTGCACGGCGAGGAGCTGGAGTCCTTCTACCAGGAGATCGACGCTGACATACTGCCAGCAGACTTCGGTGGCAACCTGCCCAAGTACGACGGCAAAGCAACTGCAGAGCAGCTCTTTGGGCCCCGCATCGAAGCTGAAGACACGGCGCTTTAAGTCAGGAGCTGCTCCCCTTCCCCTGTAAAATAAGATCAGAGGTGGTCCCCTAACCCCAACCACTTCCATACTGTAGCAATGGATGAGTGACTGCTCTGGGTGTGTTGCTCCGTGTCTGTTCCTGTCCCCAAAGCTGGCAGCAGGCTGCCTGGCAGCGGCTGGGATGCAGCGAGCACGTGCCTTGCTCTGCTCCAACCTTAGCCTTTACTTCTGTGGGGCAATACAGCCAGAGAACACTGTCTCCACAGCCAGCTCTATGTGCCCACAGTTGGTCACTGGGGAGCAACACAACCAGAGGATGCCACTGCAGAAGCCCCTGCCAGGGGCTGGCTGAAATATGTATGCAGAGAAATAAAGAAGAATTTAACAACAGTGTGTCTCAGACCTGGGTCAGTGGTTCTGTTACAGTCCTACCAAGACCAAGCAGTGGCACAGGCAGAGCTGAGCGCCCAATTTTTGCTATGCAGGGCAGCCAGGGAGGAAAAACAGCAGCCACTGAGGGCAGGAGGTGAAAGCTAACCACAGAACAGTGGAAGACACGCAGAATGTAGCCTCTTAAATCCTCTAAAAGCTTTAACTAAGCTGCCTCTCCAAGCACTGCACCTGGCAGCGAGCTCAGATCTTAGTAGTTCAGGTCAGAAAAGCTCCATGAAAAGTAACCAAGGAGGGGCACAAGGGATCAGTGAGGAGTGGCAGCACCTGTAGCTTTGAGTCAGCAGGTGGCAGATAATGGCATAAAGATGAGGTGGAAGTATCTCCCTGCCAGGGAAAGCAAAGTGTTCTGGGTTATAAACCAGAAGCTCTGAGGTGGTGAAGTAAAAAGTGGCTCGTGAAGGAGCTGATCAGATGCTGGACTTCTCACTAGGCCACGAGAGCAGCAGGGCTTGGAGAAAAGCAAGGGGCTGCTGCCTGCCCAGGACTTGGTGGTTGCCTTCCCTGTCAGCACAGTATGCCCCTTCTTCCCTCCCCCAGCTCTGCAGTTGCACACGAATGCCTTTCATTAGCAGAGCAAGGACCAGGGTCCATCCGCAGCCAGCGGAGGTGCAGGGTGCTGACAAGAGCTGCATTCATCAGGGCACTGGCTCAGGCTCAACCCAAACAGGATGTCTGCTCTGAAGCTGCTGGGAGGATGGGGCCTGTCTGGGCAGCCAACTGGGGTTAAATCCATTTTCACCAGCCCCACTTGATTCACTGAGCATTACAGGACACACAGCAGTTCCCAGCCCAGGGGCTGTGCCAGGTTTGTGCTGCAAGGTCTCAGAAAAGGATTGAAAGGCACCTCTGGCTGTGCTGAGCTCTCCACAGGCCAGCAGTCCCAGGGAAACAAAGTGTCACAACCATCCAACCAGCGCAAACACAAGAGCTTGCTTGAGAGGCAAAGCAATCGCACCTCCTTTGCAAGACAAGCAACCAAGAAGTGCCATAGCAGCGCTGCTCTTCATGCTGCAGCCCTTGTTCTGCTTCCTAGGACACAGAGAGCAGAGGAAGGCTCCAGGTGGATCCAGCAGGGGTAGTGAGGGCTGGCACACCTGCCCTGTGCTGTAACGCAGCGCTCCTGGGCACTACTCCCACCTTCCTACTGCACACTTCGGCTTCCCCTGAGGGCAGCGATTCCCCCCTGGAGGCAGGGAGAAGAGCAAGATGATCATCTTGGCTCAATATATTCCCATGCCAGACAATCTTTTGCAGAGGAAATCTTTTCCCAGAGGAAGAAATGGCTGCTTTATCTGTTGAGACTTTCCCACCACCAAAAACACTGTACACAGCCACTCCACGTAGCACTGGCTTCAATAAGTCCTTTATTTTTAAATAAAGAAATCCCACTGAATCAAAGATAACAAAATTACATTTTGTTTTGCAACGACTTCCATTTTACATCACACAGAAGAACAAGAATTAAAGAAAAAAAAAAATCAAAGACTGTTTTATATATATTTATATATATAATTTTAAAGGTAAACATCAGCAGATATAGAAAAATTGCATTGCTAGTTGCAAATCATCTCCCCTGCAGCTGTCAGCTTCAGAGAATCTGACTCAGAACATGGCAGCAGGAGGGTATCTCGGTATACAAGCTTTTTAGGGCAGCATTTAGAGATTGTTCCAAAGTATGATTTTGCCAAATTGAGAACATTTTCACAGTAAACTGCACTGCTCACCGAGAACATCAGAAGTCACTCAGTCTGTTCTAACATGGCTGCATGGGCAACACGAGAAGAGCTCAGGCCTGCCGTTCTGAGGGCTCCATGCACCCTCCTGTTTGGCATTTCAGAGAAAGGGCTCCTCTTGCAATGAATTTTTTCAAGAATTTCTAGCAATCTGTCACTGGGAAATAGGACGAGCTGTCAGAAAACATGCTCCTTTGGAAAGCTGCTGAGTTGGGCTGAGCAGTCAGGTTTGGTTTTATCCAATACAGGTTGTATTGTTGCAGTTTTTGTTTTAAAAGACTTGCCATCAGAAGGGTCAGCATCTCAGCAGAGGTGCAATGGAGATCCTAGAAAGAAATTCTGCATCTAATCAAAGCTCTTGCATGTCTGGTGACAGACGATGCAAGCTCGTCATTCAGACAGCAGCAGAAAGGCTTTGTGTAGAGCCACCTAGTGGGACTGCTCCTCAACGGCATTAAAGTCACCTGGGTTAGGCAAGGCCATAAGGTGAGGAGACTCATGGTCTTTACCCACAGGGCACACAGGGCCAGAGTTTTTTGAGAGTGTTATCAGACAGGCATGGAAAAGGTTGTTAGACACCAACAGATGCAACCTGATAAATGCTGCCCTGGATTGCAGTGTTTTTGTCCGTTGATTAACCAGCAAAATCAAGTGTTCAAAACAAGGTGTTCAAAATGGAATCGTTCAGGATAATCCCAGAAACCCTTTTGCTGCAGCGTGGAAAGCTGGCAACTGCTTGGACTCATTGACAGCAGTTGTGTCTGAGCTTCCCCAAGAGCAGAGAGAAGTCCAGGCCACTGTAAGAGACGCTCCCAGTAATGAAAGGGGCACAGATGCAAGGCAGCCCTTCCTTGGGTCTGTGTTGCTCTGAACCATTCTAAGCTTGGATAAAGCTCAGGAAGCCCTCACACCAAGACAAGCTGTTTGCTTTTTGCCTGGGATTAGAAATCCCAAAGGAAACACTGCTTGAGTCGCTGTGGCTCTGGGACCTGCCCAACCAGCAGGCCTGCCAGAATAAGGACATGGAGCGGGGCTTGACAAGACACCCTTCACAACACATGCCTTACACATGCAGCACAAGACTGGGGCCTTTTCTGATCTCCTTGGAAAGGGCTGTGAAGAATTTCAATGAGCTCCAGACAGATATTATATCACTTAAGGAAAAACGACTTGGAAGCAATCCAGGTGACTGAACTGTTTGGCAGTTAATTCCTGAAGTTACTGCTCTGCTCTTTCGAGCCGTAGCCATCTTCAGCTACGCTGCTGAAGAGTTGATAGACACTAGAATTTTGGAGCTGTATGGTAGAAAGTCACTTATTAAGCTAACCCTCCTTCTATGACTTAATCTCTACGGCCAGAGGCAAATTTGAGGAGCAGAGCTGAAAGATGATCCACTGCTTATATACACTGCTATTTTAAGCACTAGAACAGACTGCAGCGGCTGTAGGCTGCCCACAAAGGTCCTTTAGGTCAGCACACACTGGTACAGTGTGCATCGCCAGAGCTGTCTCACTGCCTCTGTCTGAGAAATCCTTACTAGAAAGCAAAGCCCCAGAGCTCTGACACAGCTGTTACTGAAGTCTCCAGATACGCTGATGTCAAGGGAAAAGAAAAAGGGCAAGGCACCATGTGTCCAAGGGCTGCAGTCTAGGAACTTGTGACAGATCCAGGACAAATGACACACAAGCAGCTTGGCTAAATTCAGTACTGGAGATAACAGTTGTTAATGTCCTTGCTTAATGCCCTGTCTTTGTAACCTGTATCTTCATGAACAAAGACCTGCAGAAGAGTGATCAGGAAATGGCTGCAGGGAGATTCAAGCGTGTCTTTACAGTACAGCCACAGCACTGCTGACCTACCTGAAAACATCTTCCATTTAGATTCCAACAAAAGGATCATTAGATATGCTGGCAGATCTCGTGTAACAGAAGCTGCAAGTTCCTTGTATTCAGTATGAGCAGGTCCCAGCTGCTCACCAAGAAGCTTCAGATCTCTCCACACACTACGATGGTGGTTGGACCAGCCTAACCACCAACAAAACAACAGCTCTGCAACTTGCTGTCTGATTGAGAGAGTCCTTATTCAAGTGCTACTTACAAAGATGGGAAGAGAGAAAACTGCTGATGTGTTTTCTACTCTCACTTTGGAACTAAACAGAGCTCAGGACAGATTCACCATGCTGGAGGCTTCAACTGCACTGCAAGGCTACACTGTAATGATCTAGAAGTACGTGCTTTGACAACCTCATTTGTTTTGACATGAGATGAAAAAGAATTTAATCTCAAAGATGAAAAATTCATATTGCATTTAGGGTTCACTGGGCAAGTGGAGACCATTTGCTGACATCACAAAAACACTATTGCCTTGTTTCAGGAGAGAAAAGCAATTCAGGTTAGGATTGGACAAAATCCCATCCTATCTGTTCTACTGGCACTGGATAACACTGCCAGTAGGAAAGCTTAGCACTGGATTTCTTTTTTTGAACGTCTTTAGGTAACATGCACTGCAGCTTACCTTTCTCTTCTTCTACTGCTTCCTTGAGATCTTCACATTACTGCTGAAAGTTTGACAAAATGAATATTGCTTTGAAAAGGCAGCATCAAATTGGGTGGGATGGGAAGAACAGATTTTTACTGTTTCCACCTACATCAAGTTAGTGAGTTTCAGGAACCTTTGCAACTACACCAAAGTTCTTCCTTCTCAAACAAGCTATTAGTTGTCCAACCACAAGTGGTGTGAGCAGCTGTGGATGCAGGTGGAAAGTGCAAAAAGCATCAACTGAGCAGGACAGACCTATATCACTTCTCTAGTTGAAAGTTTCAAAAATTTCACAGCACTTCTGAAATATGAAGGTATGGATTGCAGGGCAGAAAGCAAGAGCACTTCTTGAAAAAAGTCCTAAAGCAAAATCTCGATTCCACAAAGCTACAGCTCCTGCTGCATTAAGAACTGCCCAGATGTTTACCTCATTTTTGGAAATATGTGCTTAAAAAGGTTTATGATTGACTGGCCATCTGCAATAGCAGCCGGATCAAAATGAAGGTGCATTTGAGGAAGTAATTTCTTCCATCTCGGAAACAAGAAAACCCTGTTTCAAAACCTGGTTTGTCAAGGATGATCTCCATTACAAAAAGGAAGGTGGAAAAGCTCTTCAGGAAAACCTTTCCATAACAAAGCTCTGCTTTCAGATGAACTGGCATGACTTGGTGGAAAAGCACTCTGTTACCTCAACACAGAAGCAAGCAAACAATTCTCTCTCACTGGTACCTTTCATGTTCTGGATCAGTCAACACCTGAACTGTTCCTTCAAGTTTGGGGTCCTGTGAAGGAAGGCAGAATTTCAGCCAAAGCTGCCTGGAGTTGATATTCATCTCACAGCACAGTAAAGCTGGACTGAGGCAGGACGTGAAGCATTTCAGAGATGGTACCTCTTGCCATGGGAAGAGCAGCTTTGCCTCCTCAGGGCAGACTGCTGTGACCTGTGTAAGCTACAGATGTAGTATGTTATGAAAGCTGAAACATTTCTGAAGTTGTAACCCACTGGACAGAAAAAAAATACCCTACACACCTAAATTGATGCTGTATCTATCTGATGTCTACAAATGTTATTTATACCCTACTTCAGCTGAAGTGAGAATATATTTACGTCACATCCCGTGAGAATGACAGGAACAGTCACTTGAGCAAAAATCTGCATTTCCTGTGTGACAGATTTTACTGATATACACAGATGCAGTATGAATACAAGGATAACAACACACACAAGATATCCATCAGCTAAGAATACCCTTTCTAACTCATGCCCTAAAATAGCTCTGAAGGAACACCCACAAGCATGACCAAGTACTGCAGTAGCCTTACTTGGCTGCATCTTTCCTTTAAGGAAGAAAAAAAAAGAAACCTGGATTTAGTAACAAGGAGATAGCCACAGTTCATTGCAGCAGGCCAAGGTGTCTGGCCTAAGGCAAACTGAAAGGAATTTCCTGATATGATAATGCACCTTTGCTACAATAGTTAGTTATTGCTTTATCAAAATAAAAACCTACCTCTGCAACCTACTGAATGAAGTTCAGGGACAAGGCAGTCCAGAAGGCTTGCTCCTCCATATCACCACACTGAAGTCTTGCAGCTTGTTTCACTCAAACTATACACTAAAGTGCCTGAAACACAAACCAAGGCTAAAGCAATAAAGTGCTAACTGATGCAGGAAGCATGACAGGAAAAGAGTTTCACTGCCACTGTGATAAAGAAGTCCCGAGCATGGATTAATGAGACAAGAATATTGACAGAACAAACAGTAAAAAAAAAAGATTTCCACCACAAATTTTCAGTCTCCAGCTTGTCACAGGGCAACCTTCCTACCAGGGGATAAATGAGAGTCCTCAGTATTGGTCGTGGCACAGACCATAAAGCCACTGGAGGGAAAAGCACAAGTGAGCATGCATCTTTCCTGCAAACAGCTATCACACTTCACTTTGCATGTGCAAACTAGAAGAGAATGTCTGAGTGTGTGAAAGGAATTCAAGTGAAGAGCCAGTAAAATCCTGCAGCATTAACATAGATATGGAAGTAGTTAGACAAAGATATCATTTTATTTAGACAGGGCTAGACCCATCAGCTTCCCATCAACTGTAAGGCAAGTCATGTGTCTGAAAACCATTAAATGCTTTGAATGTTAAGGGCAAGAATTTTGGTATGATCTACCCTGATACAAGGGGAGTAAATCTAAATAGATACGTTCTTCCCCCACAGTTCAATCCCTAACAGAGTACCTACTACAAAATATTCTTAAAAGATACTGAGCTCACAAAAAGGTCCTGTAGATTCTTAACCAGAATCTTCCATTAGGAAGCCAGAGCCAGCTTTAAAAAGTCCTGTATCAAACAAGAAATCCATTACTAAAAATATGACTACATTTAAAAAGAAGCCAATGTGACAAGATGATTGGTCTGGTCTTGGTGTGAATATAAGTTTACACTGAAACATTAACTGGCATTACCAGTCTGCAGCTTTCCTCTTCCTGGAATCCCAGTATAAAGATGCCCCAACCCACAGATATCTGAAGCATGGACAAGTTAAGCGTTTCTCACCTGACAGACTTGCGTATCTGCACTCTTAGGAAGTAAAACATTCCCTTGAGATGGTGCAAGGCTGGTGCTCTACTTGCAGTCAAGCACCTGTTTTTTTCAAGCCACAATTTAGTGGCACACAGTCTGGACCACTGACTGGCCTGCGGCGTGGTAGAGGGTTTTTCTAGCACTGGGACAGAAGAATCGTAGGTACCCTGCCATCTACATCTAACTAAATGCTGCAGATCAAGTTCTTGATCAGCTGGTGAAGTGATTTTGACATCTGAAACTTCTGTTACATCAAAGCAAGTTGTCTTCAACTCAATAACCCTGTAACAAGTCACAGTAAGCAATCCAATTCTTCAAGCAGAGCAGTAAATTACAAACCCAAGTGACAACATAAGCGAAGATTCTCTGACCAGATATTAACCTCTGTTTTAACTCCAATTCATAAGGAAACTTTGTGATCAAACCCCAGCCATAGAATATCAAAAGGAATGGAAACCTGAAGCAGCAGGTGAGGGAACAAAGAGTTCCCAAAGGGGGAGATATACTGAAGTGATCCAGAGTCTTTGGGTCAATTACTCCTGGCCAGATACCGCCTGCTCTGTGTCTGAGCAGTGAGACTTTGTCTTCTCCCACTGGCAGATGGCATTGGCATACTGCACCACAAGCTTATCCATCCAGGTAAGAGGCTCTGGGAATAGCACAGACCCCTCGAAAAAGCCCAGATGGCCTCCATGAAGGGGCAACACATGCATGACATTTTCTCTTTTCTCTGTAAAAACAAACAAAAAAAAGCACTTAGGTCCTGAATGTTAGCATTTTTGAGCTGAGAACTAAACCATTTTGAGCTGTGATAATGAACTCAATTCTTGGTATAGGATCTGAAGCAACAGGAGCAATATTATGAAGCAGAAACAATGACCAAGGCCATAGCTAATCTGAAGTCAAAAGCACGTAAGCTTACAATTCCACAGAACAAGACAGTCCACAGGAACCAATTCCAGCTGCCCAAGAAATGCTACTGGCTAGGCCCTTATGGCAATACAGGTCACATCCTTCCATCTTTCATTCATACACTGGAGCTAGGACCATCAGCATCATGTCAAGCTACTCTAAAGCTCTGGCATATTAGCCACCTTGGTCCATGTACAGTGAGAAAATCCCTGTGCTTGGATCCATCTGAAAGCAGCTGAAGATTAATTCACCCGCCATAGCTTTCAAAAAGAAAAAATGAATCCTGTTTTCCTCCCCATGCACCCACTGCCTGTGCAAAAAAAAAACAACAAAAAACAGCAACCAGCTCCTTCTCTTGAGCTTCAGAAGGTTCTTTGCCTTTTTCTTGGCTGAGGACAGCTGACAAAACTTCTTTTCCAAGGAGACATCTTAGTGGATTATCAAACAACGCAACTATGAACGTGCTCCCTTCATCAGCAGCAACCCCCCTTCTACTAAATCTCAGTGAGTAATGAAGACACGAGGAAGCGTTTTTTTCCACTCCAGGAATGTAACCTGAATATAAACTGCTGGCAATCAACATAAGCTGAAAGAGCAGAAGATGCCAGAAAGGAGGACTGAAGTTCTTCCTGCTCGTAGTTGGCCTCATTAGTTCTAGCAACTGGTGTTTTAAAGAGGCTTAGTACACCTCCCACAGGATTACAAGCGTAAGAAGGCAAGTGGAGCTGCTTTGTAATCATGGATCATGAAGGGGTAAGGGAGATGCAGGTACACAAATATGCTCTCCCAGAGCAGACTGCTTCAACATACCTGAAAGAGCTCTTGGAATTGACAGAAGGCTCTCATGCACAAGAGGGTCATCAGCAGCATTAACAAGCAGAAGAGGAACGTAGATCTATATCCAGAAACACAGCAGAAGAGAAAAAACAGTAAGGGGGTGGTATTTGAATTTCTATTAATTGTTAAGGCATCTTATCTTGGCTCAATTCAGATATCTTATTTCAGAGTTATCCTGTAGCTGAAAAACCACCAGGAAAGCAAAGTTAAAAGTAAAGAGTGGTGGCTTTTTACTTGTGGAGTACTCAGCAGCCCTTGAATATTTTTTTCCAAATTCAATTGTATGAAAAAAGAGAAAGGAGTGTAACAGAGCAGATGCAGACTGAGTCACAGATTTTTCCCATTCTCAGAATTCAAGTAGTCACACCCTTTCTGCTCTGCACTGTTTTGCACACCAGGCATCTAATGCCAGCTCTGTTATGGACACCTTGGTTAAAGTCCAGGAAACTCCCTTGGAGTGTTTCCATCCACTGCTTCAGCAGATTAAGGAATTAATATCAGTTTCATTTCTGCAGTATTTGCTAAGCATCTCCCTTCCAGAGAGTGTCCTATACCTCTTCCAGGGTATCTAGTACCTTTTTCCTTAAAGCTGCATGCTGTATGCCACCACCTGTTTCCCACCTTATGCACTACACACAGAGGGGCTCAGCTGATTGCGTGGCTTTATCTTCATCACTTGGATGCTACTACATAGAGTTATATGCACTTAAGAGCTTAGAGCATTCAGCACCAGCATTAGAGGTAAGAACTGAAATCTTACTCCAGAATCCTGTATCTGATTACTTCTAAAAATCACTGCTAAGACAGCTGTGTCCAGGTATCAGCAACAGAAACCAGCAAACACTTTCATCTATGGCACAAAAAGGAAGGCACAAAAGTAGCTTCAATTGCAAGAGCTTACCCTGTGCAAGTAATGCAGGCAGCTTTCTTCTTCATAGTACTCCTTCAGGGAACTGTAGCCATGAAATTTCCTGAAAAGGACAGTGTCATTGCCATCATCTGCTTCTAGTACACGTGACTCCCATTTGCAAGTAAGGACATGGGCGCAGAGACAGGAATGACGCCTGGATTTTTATGGACAATGCCTTTTTTCTACTCACTGCTTCTGCAAAAATCACCTTTGGCAGCACCTACTTCTATGCTTTCTGTGCTTACTCAAACACTGCTAGCAGGATGCTTTTTCTTTTTTTTTAATACATAGCAAGGTAATCACACAAGTTGAAATACAGCAGCCTAGGAGGCATTTTGTTTTTAAACTTAACTTGTTTTTTTCCACATGTATGAATTACTTAATGACCTTCTTCTTCACTGGAAAGCCTTTTCAAATGTAAAACCATTACAGCTTATAAACCTCAAACTTACTGGACCCGAAAGGGTCTGCCAACAAGATTCACAGAATTCACTGTAGATGCAGTTCTTTGCTGCATCCTGAGCTCTTCATCCTAAACCCATGATTCAGTGAGTCTCTATTCAAGTGCCCTTTTTTTTTTTTTTTCCTCTTGGAGAGTAAGAGACAATGATGCAGCTGTAGGCAGAAACTACACAGGTCTCAGGGATGAGGGACGAGTAGGAAGATTTCCCCTAGAAATCACTTTCAGAAATACAACAGACAACAATGCTCCTACTCCTCCAAAAGCCCTTAAAGCTGTATAGCTGACAGTGTACAGCTTCAGCATTTTGTAAAGGTGTCAGTGCTTGATACAGAACATGTCATGGCATGAATTCAGACACTGAACAAAGTGCTGCGTTGTTTTCAAGGATACAAACAGCAACATACCACAGATTATTAAAGCACAGAGCTTAATTTAGCTGTTAGCATGACAAATTAAAAGTTCATGTTATCTCAGCCAACCCTAATGTTTATGGAGATGGTGGCAGTATTCTGCAGAAGGAGGGTTTGTTTCAAAATGCGAGCTGGACTAAGAACACTTGTGAGCAGTTCTGAGATGCTTTCTGCATCTGCATTCTGCACTATCTTTTTCTTGACCTCTTGGCATGACAGGCCTTCTTCCTAGTGTATTCTAGGCTGCAGGTTCAGACATTACTTATACAAAAATGGCTTCTGGATGACTATACAGAAGCTCTGACTGTCAAGACTAAAGATCGTGGGGCGTTCTTGTGGTATGTTTTATTCAATGCAATGGCAAAGAAGGATTTCTGAGGGTGTCAGCACTGCATTTCAGCAGATTCCTACAGGCGGACCAGGAGGTGTGCAAGAGCAACACTTGAAACAGGAGAAACAGAGTCCCCTTTCCTACCTCATAACATTGTCATCAATCTGCATAAGGGATGTTGCTGTATAGAGTTTGCTCAGATCAGCATCTGACAGGCTTTGTGGCTTCTTCATGTTATCTCCAAAAAGAACTTGCCTGAAAGAAAAATAGCAAGAAAAATCATTCAAACACCACAACCATGGCAGCAAAGCCATGACCCGCTCAAGGATCAATCTGACAAGAACAGAAGTGAGCTACATACGCATGAGGCTTTCTTGAGAATAAGCACAGCTTATCCATCCACCTCCCATCATAATAAGGCATAATAAACTAACAGCCACTTCAGAGAAAAATGCTCTCCTTTCATACTGAAAAACTGCACTAAGGAGCCTCTGTGAAGAATGTTCCCAGAACAGGCAGCACTAAGGATATTCAGAACAGAGGCTTCATGTGTTTTTACAGGTAGGGTCCTCTGGTTTCAGCCCAAACCCACAGGCGACTCACGCAAGAGCACAGCAGTCCTGGGCAAAGCACCTCCTTCACCATATGCTCCTGAAGTCTCCCCCAGCACAGACATCAGGTTAGCTCAGCAACAGAAATTACTTGGGGGCATTACCTTAGCAGAAAGCTATTTACTATGGACACTTATCATAATTAGTTATTGCCCTCAGGAGAGGATGTGTTTCTTCACCAGAACAAACCGCTCCCTTAACAAACAGAACAAAGGCCACAAGTTGGAAAGGTTTTTGTTGGTTTTTTTTCTTTCTTTCTTCCCCTTTTAGAGGCAGCTGCAGGGCAGAGCAGGAGGGAGACTAGGTTTGTCTTGGGAGAGCTGCGTTAGAGCACAAACAGTTGTGGAAAAAAGATTACTTAACTGATTCTCCTCCAAGCCAGCTGTGCCTTCATCTGGCTTATGAATCTATGCACATTTAATGGGTGTTTATGATATACCATGACATGTTAAACTCGATCAGGTTGTATAAATATTTGTCAATCCGGAGTGAATTACATGGATCATCCTGCATGTCAGTTGACCCAACTCCTTCTGCAAGTATTTCATACTGCATCGGAGTGTAAGCAATGAACCAAAAGTTTATAAGTGACACAAACTCCTAACTGGAATGCCTCTTAACTATTCTCCTCTTTTTCCCTCAACTCAGGGATCTCCAAATGTAACAGATGAGGTACTTACACATCCATTGCCTTAGAAGCACTCAATTTTTCATAGAGGCAACACAAACAGTGAGCATGTCACCTGCTTAACAAACACAGTCCTTTCATATGTGAGAGCCACAGATCACAGCAGTAGCATAGGGATACTACAACTACATCTGCACTCCAGGAAGAGCAACACTAAGTACTCTGCTGGCTACATGCTCTCTGCTGAAGAACAGCTAGAAGCCAGATCTACAGAGCGACTGTTTGCTTATCAAATAAGCAGCAGCCCCATGCAGCAGATCTTGCAGATTAATCCTACCTCTGGCAGGTGGCAGAAAGAACAAGAGGCTCCTTGAATAGGGGGTTCTTTGGCTAGAAGTGAAACAGATGCTGAATACTCCACTTTGAAGTTCAATTACAATGTCTTCCTGTGCTCATCTTGTTTATTCATTAAGCAAGTCTCCTCAGAAGGAAAACAAAGAAATCCCCTAGCATCCCACGACAAAGCTTGCTTTCTTCTGTCAGGATCATCAGGGTTTCTATATTTTATAGTATATGAGACTGACACAGGTTCCCCTTCTTTTCCTTGCTTTATTTACACGCCACTGAGCAAGGAACCTGTAATCTTTCAGGAGTCTGAATTTAAAGGGCTGAGGAAACAAATCCAATATAGCAACTGATCCAATCAGCAGCATCAGTGTAAGTGATGTGCTACACTACCTGTGAGAAAGGATGATCTTCTTCATGTTATCTGCCATGAGGAAGTTATAAAATCTTCTACATTGATCCCATTGCATGAAGGTTTCCTGTGCCCTAGAAATAAACATAGTGCATTAACAATCAAAGCTGTTTATGGAGATCTTTAATGATCAGAGTAATACACCGTAACATAAGATGGCAGCCTACAGGCTGTGTAAACACATCTCTGGGCTTTACCTGCCACAGCTTAACCTTTCCCAGGGAATGACTTTCACTTTGATGAAGTTTGATGGTATCAGAAAACGGATCTGCAGTCTCATTTTGCACAATGCAATTAGCTGCTCTGATCAGAGAGCATTTAAGAGCCATCAGTCAAGATCTGCAACACTGACAGGAAGATTCTGTATCCCTTATCATAAGTTGAGTGCAATTTACCTAATGGAACTAACAAGGAAAAAACTCCAATCTTCTGCTGGAAAAAAAAATTGTTTATTTTGTGTAACAGCTTTGCAGAGAAAATCATTTGTGCAGATGTTTCCAGTATTCACATACACTGTCACCATTTCAGCTTCATTGGCAGTAACTGTAGGAATAAACACCAGTTGCAGCTGCAAGAAGCACAGTTGAGGTCTCTACCTACACTCAAAGCAGAACAGCACTTCACAGCTTATCTGTTGTTAAAACAGAACTAAAGTTGTCCAGACTTCAGCGAGCTCTGCCAGATACAGGGCACTCCTTTGCTACGCAGGGTCATGGGCAGGTTATAGCTTTACTCTTAAATAGGTTTGCTGTTACTGAGGAAACACACTATCATTTACTGAGCAACCTAAGAATGCTGGGAGCAAGCAGTTTCAGCTACTGAAATACTCCCATTTAAACATTAACATACCATGAGAAATTGTGGTAGATTTGTCATGAATTCCCAACCCCCAAGTTCCTCAGCAGAGCATAAGCAAGCCATGCCAGCCTGCAGTAAGCCACACTGCAGCACAGACCTTCAGGCTACAGCCAGCCTTTACCTACCATGTTTATGTCCAGCCACAGGAATAAGGACAGGAAAAGATTTTCCAAACAAACCTTCAAAGCCATTTCAAGACAACTAGAGCTCAAACTTTCCCCCAGTTACTGTGGCAGACAGTATGGTTGTTAATATGCTGCGAGCACTGATAAAAATGCAGTTTCCAAGGTTTGGAGGACTGCACAGGTCTGAAAGGCGGGGACTCTCCCCACAGCCCACAGCTATGGTGCAAGTGCATTCCACAAGATCAAGTAGTAGAATCAAGTCTGTGCAGGCAGAGATTAAGGAATAAGACAGGTCCCTGCTTGGCCTCAGGGAACAAATTCCCCGAACTTTGTGTCAATTCATTAAACCAAGAGACCCATTTTCTGCTGGTAGAGCATTTTGTTGTTGCTACTTTATCAGACCTGTCTATGGGACACTTGCTTAATGCCCTGGAAAGGCTTTTGTATTTCGGATATCTGCTTCATCTTATTCATCATCACTTCTTCCCAATTTTTCTCCTTTTACTTCCTAACGATGTTTGGGGACAAAGGCTGTACAAGCTAAGAAAAAAAAAAACAACCACCCTATAAGCTAACTGGTAATCTACCAGAGTAATCCACCTTCACATAGCCCAGAGGAAAGAGACCAGTTATTTTCACCTATCAGAATATGACCAGGAAGGCCAAGGCTTACCCACTCTACCTGGAGATGCTTTGTATCTCCTCCTTCTACAGGAGGGAAAGAAGGCCCACGTTATCCTGTTTTTTTCTTTGTGGATATTTACTGACCTTGCTTTCCCCTAGCTCTCTCTAATTACCATTTAAAAGCAGCACTAGATAGGTAGGCAGACAGGAGACCTAAACAGCCTTCCTGCTGGGTGCACTGTAACACACAGCAGATGTTTTGTGACTGGAGATTTGCTAGTAGATGTTTACCCAGCAGGTGGAGTCAAGAGCTCAATAATCCGCAAGAGCCCACAGAGGACTTGCATTAAACTCAGGCAAGCAGCTGTTATTTTTCCATATGGATATCCAAGTGCAGGAGTGTTAACGAGGCTGCCCCTCTGCTGCCGTTCCACAAGCACATTGTGACACAGTACTAAGAAACCAGCTTAGAGAACAGCATTACTCACAGCATTTTGGAGACCAGAAATACAATGTTGCATAACTGCAGAAGATAAATCAAACAGGCCAAGGCCAGATGTGATCCTTGCAAGCCCTGTTTGATGGCTGCAAAAACAGTTCCAGGAGCTGCCTTCAAAAGAATGCATCAAGAGGATTCTTGCTACATTCACCATTCTGGGAGGCCAGATTCCACAGCAAGTCCCTCACAGTGCTGTCATAGTTTCATCTTTATCTGTCCAAAGGACTTTGACACAAATAGCCTGGGGGTATCAATAGCTTCCTTTGCTTTTCAAATATTCTCATGGCTCAGTGATGCAGTTAAGTCACTGTACAGTCAGCAACACATCAGTAGCTGTTTGTATGTGCAGATAGAAAAAAGTGGAAGCATTAGTTTAGCCAGTTGCACTGTTTTAATTTTCATTAGCTGTGCATACACGGAAAGTTACTTCACATCAGGTGAGCTACCAGTTTCCAAGCAGCAGCGCTGTGTGCTTGCCCTCCATCAGTGAATACACGTGTTAGCACTAGATGGAGCCCTTACAGCTCTTGTGAAGGCTACAGCCTCGGCTTCCAAGCAGGGAACGACAGGTTAATGGGTAGGCAGACCATCTAAAAGCCTTAGCCTCTCCACCTTCCAAATTTCAGGCCAGTAGTACGATTGCAAGCGCCTCTCCATGCCCTCAGCATCCTACTGCACTATTTTATGGACACACAAAAAGGAAGGAGCATGAACAGACAGTTTGAGCTTCGTGTTTTTTCAGTCTCTGCAGATAAGAGACAGTCTTATGAGCAGACCTTAGGGAACTCCACAGTGAAGCCAGAAGAGCTATTATGAACCAAGTGATACTTTCCAGAGCGATGAGAAAGCATAAACTATTGCTTTAATCCTGGCATCAGCTCAGAAGTTTGTCATGCTGCCCAGCCAGGACTGGATGAAGAATGCCTCCTCTTACCACACTGCAGCATTTCTGCCATGACAAAGTTAGGCAACTCACACATATAGAATGGCAGCTACCAGTATTTGTACCTGGTGAGGTACAGAAAGCTTGTTTGCAATGTTGACAAAGTCTATTTTGTTTGTGCTGCCAAATCAACAAAGTTGTGGCTGCTCCTTCGGCTCCTGCGCTCTGCATTTGTAAAGACTAAATAAGTGCAAGAGAAATAGTGCCCCCTTCCCCCCACCCTGCAGAAGAAACCAGGACAGAACTGCAGACTCACCTGAGCGCACTGTACCCCTGGCACACGCTGACACAGCACAGAACCCTCTCCTGGTTGGCCTGGTTCTCTCCCAGGTACTTGCACACGATGTTTCCACCCAGGCTGAAGCCTACCACAGCCAACTGGGTCTGAGGGTAGGTCTTCTTGATGTAATTCACCATGGCTCCAAATTCCCAGGTGCAACCTGAAAATAAGGACAGTGTCAAAGGCATCTTCCAACAGTCCCTGACTTCCACTTCAAACTCCAATTGTATGCTTTAAGTTCAGCTTCTTACTCCTTCTGATTTTTCAATAACCTCAAGGTTTAAGATCTCTGATTCACATGCTCAGGCATCTGCTTTATGAGTCCTGTGGACCTTAGCTTATGCCTCATTTTGGACCAACTGCCAAATTAAGATGAACTAAAAAAAAAAAATAAAAATCATGAGAGCAGCAGATCTGACAATCCACTCTTCCTTTCCAAAGCAGCTTAAAAATAACAGCATTTCATTGTCTTCCTGAGGCAGTTTGCCACTTCTGAACAGAAGTGAGCTATGTGGAAAGCGGCCTGCTCACTGCTCACAGCAAGACAGCCATAGGTTCTTAAATCCATGTTGAAAACACAGAGCAAGCTTGTCAGGACAGAGGGCTCAATGGACTGAAGAGCCTAAGCAGGTGCTCTCTGGAACTAGAGGGAATGGTTTAAGCAAAAGCAGCTAGACTTCTTTCAGCCACTTGAGGTAAAAATACTGCAGTTTCTTACAAGAGGAATGGGCCTCCCCACATCAAGGGAAGAAGTAGGTATCTCTACACAGATGCATGCTGCTCTCAGTTCATGCTCACTTGCATCCCACAGGCTGCAACACTGAGGGATCAAACTTCTGGCAGCACTGAGGTCCTCAGACTGTCTGAGAAATGAAGACAGTGGTATCAACTGACTGTGCACTTTGTTAATCTTCCAATTGGATTCAAGACTGCAAGCTGAGCAAACCACACAAACAAAATAAAATTCCACCTTTTAATTCATGTGTACCTCAGATCTGTGCAGTGGGGCTGCTACAGGAAGGTACATCCTAAGAGTTTGGATTCTACACTGTGCTATCCAAACACCGCTCCACTCTGCCTTCACCCCAAACGCAAAACCCTTGCTAGACATCAGCCTCAGATTTTAGCTAGCTCTGGAGCAGATGCTGAGCAAAGTTTGTGTTCACTTCAGTGAAAGAAAAAGCATCTGGATGAGCATCTCATCTGGGCTCAGGCACTTCCTTGTGAGCATTCCCACTTAGCAATTTTCCACAAGATGACAAATGCTGCATTGCTCTAGCTTCCTCTGGAAGAAGCTAGCAGTCAAAACACTACAGCATTTGACTGTCACAATTCGAAAGCATTTCAGAAACTTGAAGCTAAAATAACAACAGATCAAGCCTGAAGTAAAGGCTCAAGCAAATCAAGTTTATGATACTCGTTTCCCCAAAACACACCAGGAATCCAGCAAAAGCTGAAAGGACAAAGGGTATTTGGATTAGAGACAGAGTAAAGTTTGCTCAAGGTCTTACTGGCACTACTCTTGGCAGAGTCACTTCTTAGTGATTTACTGACTTGCTCAAAGGAAGTGCTAGGCATTCCTTGCCCTCCCCAAGGCTTCAGAAGATTTAGAAAGGCATGTCTCCAGAGCTACATTGCAGAACAGCTCCTTCAGGTCTAAAGAAAAACTACACAAAGTGAAGAAAGTCTACCATCAGCTCCAGCAAACTGAGAAACTGAGATGAGGGCTCAGAATTCCAGACCAGCATTTGACATTAGACAGAGATAAGTGACATCACCATCTTACTCCAGGCAGAGCTGTAGCAGATCTATACCCTGGTAGTGATGTTAATCTCCCCTCCCCCCCGACCCTTATTAACCATTTTAGTTAATTATTCAAGAATTCAGGCTCTAGCATTATAATTAGGTATCTGCTAGCATGATACTGCTGAAGGTTTCAGAGAACAGTCAGTAAATTTTGGAAATTACTCTGTCCTGGGAAGGTAATATTTTTGGAAGGAAGCTCCCAACTTTTATCAAAAAACCAAACAGCTGAATGAGATCAGGCTTGATTCTGGTAGACTCAAAGCAACTGCTAGCCTAGGATCTCATAACAAATCAAGGCTATTGGTACTTCTGAAATGTTTTCCCACTCAGGAGTGGATTAAATAGCTATAAAACAAGCAACAAGGCATTAATGCCTATCTACCTGCTACATTCAGAGTTCCAAAGCACAAGATATCTTTAACAAATAAATAAAGAACCTAATGCCAGTCTACTATTCTCACAGTTGAGTCCTGCCATAAGGTACCTATAGATGTCTGCAGTACAGAGGGCATGAGGGCTCAAAAGAACTCAGGAACAAGCAGATCAGGTCTCTGGCAAGAAGACCACATTTTACCAAGATCATGTTGCATGCTGCAGGGCAAGTTATGAATAGCTGGAGTCACTCCTAGGCCATCTCAAAATATTTCATTCCTTAAAGTTTACTGGCTAAGAAAGATTTCCTTATATGCAAAGTGAAAGTCCAAAATCATAGTAGCTAAGCACTACCACTTCTGTAGCTTTACTGTCAAGCTGCAGATCTGTTGCATTCCTTGATATTTGTGTTACATTCAGAGAATGATCTGACCATGGCCCTCCTAGGATAGAAACGTACTTTCTGGATAGGCTGGTACACAGTCCTCATTAGTTTTCAAAGCCTCACAAATAACTTCTGTCCAAGTCAAGTTTGTTCATATTCCACTAAACTGACATTTAAACATCCCTCAAATCATTTGAGCAGGCTGTCAGTAGCCACGAGAGCTTCTTAAGAAAGCTTTTCTTTCAAAAAACTGCCTCCTTGATTAGGAGTACGTGTTTAAGACCTAGGATGAGAAAGAAGGAAAAGTGAATCCCAGTACTAGTCTCCCTTCTTCCTCAAAAGTTACATTCATTTCCTAAGAAACAGTACAAAATGATTAGCCTAATTCAGCTATGGTAGCCTGATTAAGACCTAGAAATTGCACAAGCTTGAAAGTCACCAGCTGTGATGAAGTACTTACCATATGTGAACATTCGTGGAGAAGTGAGCTCAATATTTGGTAAGGCCCCCAAGTGATTCAGGACAGCACATCTGTACCCATTTTTTTGTGCATAGTCAACAAAAGTGCGGATATACTGCTTCTCACTGTGGTTAGCAATCCCAGGGCAGATTACCATCGTGACATCCTCTGTGCACAGAAAGAGAGAAAAAGAGAAAAGTTAAGTAAATGTCACTGCATGCAAATTAAGAGGTTCAGAAGCTTTCCATTTCACAGCCATGGGAAACCATGTGCCAGAAGAAAGCCAAAAATCCTATTATTCTGCCAAAAAAGCCCACTATGGGAAAGAACAGTAGCAGCCCTAATGCTAAAGATGTGGAAAGAGTAATTCATGTTATAAGAGATGAACATTTTTCTAACTCTGGGGAAGGCTGCACAAACAGTTCTACAGAAACTTCCCGAAGACTGAGTGAAAATGCTTCCCTTTGAAGAAAGCTGTTTTGGACATCACACATGCTCTGCCTTCTGGCAGCCCGCTGCGACTGTTAAGTGCATGGAAGCTCGAGAGCCTGCTGCTTGTCCACGCTTCCAGAGTTCAGTGCAACTCTGACACTCAAAAGGAAGCTCTACTAGGCACAGAAATTCTGACTGTCCGACATTAGGCATCCTCTGCTTCATTGCTACACAATCCCTGATCTGCCAACACCGTTCATCCCTTTAACAAGAGATCATTTCATCAGCTAAGAAAGTCTCTACTGTAATTCAGCAAATTACAAGATTAGCATATGCACTTCCAATTAGCTATCATACTCTGCACTGCTGTACAAAGCTCTAACTTGTAGTTCTACCCACTGTGGATTTTTGCCTCATTAGGAATGCACTGTTCGGATTGTCTTTAGTGATAAGGATAACAGAAACTGTTACAGTGTAACATTACATATCACAAAGACCTCAACTCTGACCATGCTAAGAACTTGACCTGAAGGCAAACTGGGAATCTTGGGCTTACCATAAAATCAGCTACTGCAGAAATTTAGTTTGCACTACTGAAGTCACAGCAATTCAATTTTAAGTGTTGCTCTTACCACTACTGAGTTTCAACTCTGACATTCACTCTGAACATACATGCATAATGCAGAGGAAAACACCAGGATTCTCTTCTTCTTCTGAAATTCTCTTAAGGCTCCTCCATACCGTACGTGGTTTGTTTTCATACAGATCCTGAAACACCTACTGTCAACAAAAACTACCCAGAATCTGCTTGTAAGGGGGAGATAAAAGCCTAATTTCTTTTCCATACACACCAAGCTATGAAGAATGCTATGCTGCTATTCTCTGTTCTATGATCCTACAGTCTTGGCAGGCAAAGGGCACTCTGAACACAAAAGTTACCACCAGCTCATGGGCAGCATCACTCGTGCGAGAGAGGTTATGGAGCATTTATTCTGCCCCTTAACCCCCAGCCCTTGTCACACAAAGTCAATTTAATCTAGCAGGTTCTCCCCTGCTGTGTGAGATACAGATACATGGCAAGGCAGACTCAGTCTCCGCACATTGGGTAGCACTGTGCAGCAGCCCCTTCCCATCACCAAGATGAACACCTAACCTTCCTGAAAATCACGTAGCAGTGCTCTCATCTGCTTCCTCCCCACTCCCAGAGCACAGAATTGAGGTTAGCAGCTAAATGCAGCCAGCAGCTGTGTGACTGACCTCCAATGCAGTGCTCAGACTGCGGCTCAAAGAGATCAAAGGTTGCTGTTGCTCCATCTGGCATCGTGAGGTACTTGCGATGTCCGTACGGATGTGGTGATCTCACCCTCCCCATTTTTCCATAAAGGGCTGTCTGGATATGCCCGCTCTTCCCCCAGATCAAGGGTGGAATGTACCTGAAAGAGGCAACAATTTAATTGCATATCCTGCTGTGCTAACGAGCCTTCCAGAACAGATAGACAATCCCATAACAAAACTCCCCCTCAGTACCAAATATAGTAACAAATTGTGTTTTTGCTATGGCTGAACTGGCAGCACTGATCTTTGCAGCCCTACCAGTGACGAGACTGATAGGCTTCTAATGCTGAGCTATCAGCACTAGAAGAAGAGGCCAAAAACCCAGACATTCCTCCACATGGAAACATTACATGCACGAATGCTCCTTGCAGACTACACAGCGGCCTTGCGTCCTTGTGAGGCTGGAACAGCATGTTGCCAGCCAACCAAACTGACCTTCAAAACTTGTCAAGTGTCATAAATCTGCTTTAATTGAAACACTGAGGCCTGCTGGGTTGAGCCACACTGACTTGTGTAAGCACTTCAACACATAAAGCTGGTGGCAGAAACACAGGATTCATTGCAAGGTCTAGAAGACTAAAACCACAAGACTCGCTCCAGTTGCAACAATTTTGCATTGAAATGCTTTTCTCAGTTAGGTAAGGAGCAAGGTACAAGGAAATTTTGCCTCAAGTAGGGTTTCGTAATAAAGCAGGAACAGTTTCAAAAGGACCTCTAAGAGAATTTGCTAACCCAGCTCCCCTGGATAAATCTCTCTTTCAACATAAGGGGGGCATTCTACCAACCGTGTTTATCAAGGACACATTAAAGCTCCGTGATGAAGCAGAATGCCTTCTTCCTTCTGGCTTAGTGGCCCTTCAAAAAGACCTGGGTATAAACTGCTGTTAGCTGAAAGGGGTTAAAGGGGTAAAATGTGTTTAACCACAAGCAGAGCTGCCAGTGGTTTAACCAGAGGTACTGCTAACCAAGTGTTGGTGATGCAGTCACCTGGCCACTCTGCAAAGGAGAGACTGAGCAAATGCCTTGAAAAAGGGATTTACATCAGCTCTTGAGAGCAAAGCATGAATGATTCATTGTTTAGGAGAACAGCAGCCCCAGGGAGCATGCTCCAATTAAGGAGTCTCTGCTGCACAGAGCAGAGGATCCAGAACAAGCTTGAGAGCTGCCTGCACCACTGTGGATACCAAGAGATCAGTAACTCCCTTCCTCTTTTTAAGCAAAGGCTTCCTGCACACTCTCCCTCCTATTGCTTGAGATCATATGAAGCAAAGATCCTGTTCTTTCGTGCTTTGCCCTGCTCTCATAAAACTAGGCAGCTTTTAGGCTCATCCGATTTACTGCTTAAGCCCATAACCCATTAGAGTGTGACTGGACAGAAGCTCTGCTGTATGCTCTGACACTGCTCACAGCTGGACCTGCTTTCTCATGGCAGCTCTTACACCTCATATCTGTAATCCTGTGTCCCTCTTACATACCTCTTAAATAAGAAAACAACACTCTGTATAAAAGTTCTCGCAGCTTGTTTAGCAAAACAAGAATTGAGTTCCAGCAGAAGGATGCGCATTCTATCCCATCATCCAGGAAGGAAATTTTTTATAGCCAAAGTAACACAGTATGGCTCATTGCAGTTTCACTTTTTACAAGTGCAATTCAATTCCCAAGCAGACCCAAAACAGATTTCCATAGAAGTAGATATAACTTCAGAAAGTTAAAAAAAACAAAAAAACAACCAAAAAAAACTACAAGAGCCTATAGCCTTGTAAATTGCTCCCCCCTCCACTGCATTCCATCACTCACCTATAAAGCTTTGCAAATAATCTACACAAGAGCAGCAGCATTATCCATCTTTATCAGCCAAGCATATCCATACTGGGAGTACACACTGCAGCTGGGTGCTTGCCAGGAACAGCCTGTAGTGCAGATTCCAGCAACAGAGTGGACTGTACAACTTATTCTCCTTAACTGCTGCTAGAGATGGAGAGAAATCAGTGGATTGTCTCACGATGCAGAGGGTTACGATAGACGTGCATAGGGTTGGTGTGATGGGACAGTCGGTACAAACAAGGCTGAACAAGAAGGGCTACAGATGGCTCTGCCCAAGGCACACATTGCTCACTGCAGAGGTTTGGAACAGATTCTGCAGCCATTCTGAAAGGTGGAGGAAACACAGGTCTTCCAGTGCAACAGAAATCAGCTGCCCTCAGTCATTCACTCACAACCAGTTCAGAAGCCATATCCCATCTTAGATGGTGCTTGACTGACTTCTTTAAGAAGTCCTTTGTGAACAGATTTTGTTGGCAGCATATTTTTTTTTTTGTGGATGAGAGAGGAGAGTTGTCAAATACAGCCCATAATAAGATATTGAAGCTCTTCCAGAAGAGACTCAGACATCAGTGTAGTTTCATGGGTCACATCCTAGCACTGGAAAGCTTTGGTGACTTTCTGCAGAGCTGCTAGAAGGGAAATTAGAAGTATTCAAGACATCAACACAACTACTGGAACTTAAATCTAGACAAATGACTTCAAAAGAATTGTTTTTCAACAGCATGCTACCTACCACAGCCTGCTTCCTCAGGTCACAGCTTGTCACACAGGGGGAAAAAGCAATAAGGCTGCCTTCTTATAACCTGACTATAAGATTTCTGAAGCTCTGATATTCAATAAGTCAATCCTCTGTGCCCTTTTTACACAAACAGCACAGGCAGTTTCACTCTTGTCTACCCTCAAGGGAAGGTCTGAAAACAAGGCAGGAATACCACTGGCTCCACTTATAATGATGAACAGAGGCTGCCTATGGGTTGCACATTTCCATCCAACAGCATGCAGCCCTATGGAAAGGGTGCATTCACTGCTTGGTGCTTTCGGAGCACACATCAGTGTTTCTAAGCATCCTATGAACAAGGAAGAAAAACACTCAGCTTATCTTTTAAGTTAACTCCTGTGTAGTTGTTTCAGTGCCACACTGCCTGCAGCAGAGATGTGTGAGCATTAGTCACTGCACATGTAACTACGCTCTTCCAGGTGAATATTCAAAGGCAAAATCCAGCATGAGCAATGTGCATAGACAGTGCTCTGATGCAGAGATTTGTTACTCCCACTTAGTCTTACTTAAGGACGTTAAGTATGTTTATGCTGATTGCACTTAAGAGAAAGCAGTTATAACAGAAATATGTGCAAGTGGTAGGGCAACAGCCTGTTATTTCACTTGTCTTTTCTTTTACTCTTGCCCACTGACCTTTATGCTATAGACTTGCAGCAAGATAAGTAATCTGAAAGTCCCTGCAGGAGGGCTCCAGGAGACTGAAGACCACAATGGGGAGAGGGGGTGAAGGGGAAGGAGGAGGAGGGAAGAATTTGCCCAGATTGCATAAATCCTGATAAATCCTGCGTAGCCAGTGAAAACTAACCCATGTTAAAGCTCACCTGAACAGACTGCTGCAAAAGCTGACAGCTAGTACCATGACTAAAAATATTGGACTTATTACCAAGATGAGCTGCTAATCTGACCTAGTACAGAACCCATGAAGTCTAGATAGTGGCAGAGGGATGTCTGTATCAGTGTGTTCCAGTAAAAGCTGCTCTCAGCTGGTGGACAAGTTGGCAAGGCACCCTTAAAATGTGTAGCAGCACCAGGCATATGATCTGTCTGAGACTATTTTTGTTGACCATCTATTCTGGCAGTAGATAAATCTGCTTTTTCAAGTCTCTGTGCCAGTGGCTTTCTGTCTGCAGCTTTCAATGAATGCAAACCTACAAGAATTTCTAAAACCAAGTACTGAGCCCTGCAGTGCAAGACTGCATGGGACCGAAGGACAAGATACATCTTTTATCCACAGTTTATGCAGACTCTCAGCTTGCTTTTCTAAATCCATACACAGAAGAGAACAGAAAAAGCTCTTCAATCACAGCAGCTCACAATACCTCACTGGTAGGAAAGAAAACACTAGTTAGAAATTATTCAAGCAACTCTACCCTTTGAAAGTACAGGTTAGATAAGCTAATGTTTATTTCAGTCGTTATACAAAAACCAGTTCCATATTCAGTCCAGCTGAAACCACTTAACTATCTAATGCTGATAGCCACAGCTAGCACAGATTGTTTTGCAATGAGGCCAATACTCCTCATGGCAAACAGCTGAAAAAAAGATGCTCCTATGAAACAATCACCCTGCAGGCACAAGAGCATGTGCTCAGGCTTTTTCCTATGGCTTACCTTAAGCAAACAAGCTCAACAGCATGTGACACATGGAAACTTGAGCTAGATACCATGCTAACTGAACTGTTAAAGGCAAGTGACTCAAGGAGCATCCAAGCCTCATCCTTTAGATTTTAATGCAAATGCTATCATGACTGCTAAATTTAACCATGCATTTCAAACAAGGGCCTCTCACTCAAAAGCAGGTGGCTCCCCTCAATCACTGGTAATTAGCAGAAAAAGTGTTCAAGGACATGACAGACTTCCTCAGCTTCTCTCTAATGCGTGCTATAAGCCAAAGTGGCTTTGTTAAAACACCATGCTTGTAGAGATTATCCCAGGATAGCAAGTTTCACTGTGTGATTCACTGTGCATTCCCCAGCATGCTGTGTTCCAGCAAAGCTGTTCACAAACGTGAGGATCCAGGCTCAGGCTGTGTGTCCACAGGCAGCTGATCTGAGTGATCTTCCTACTTTGATTTGGTGAGCTGCAACAGGTATCAGGTACTCTAAGAAAAGACAAGCACTTAATGCAATTCATTAAGGTTCTCAATAGCTATGAATTTTAGGAAGGGGATTTCAGTAACTGGAATCTGTGGCAGAATGTAGATGGTAGAACAGGTCTGGGGTTGCCAGTTGCTTGTTATGGAAACTGATTTTAGCAAACTCTGTATTCATCATGTCACGTGCCTTAGCTGGCCAAATGAATTCAGACCCAGTTACATAAACACGCTTCACAAATGCCAGCTTTTTTAGCTCCAAGTGCTTCATTTTAGCTGTAAAACCCACCCCCACATCTTGATAGGTGACAGCCCACAGCAGTCTCCGAGAGCAAGAGAAGACCTTAGGTGCTTCAAGAATCTCCACCTAGCATTTTAAGGTTAAAACCAATTCCAATATGTGCATCTAGATTAAGTTTTAGTGACCATCAGAGCAGATTATGATTTTAGAGCACGTACGTTTCCCAGCCTACAGAATTTAGGAAAGCAGCAGCTGCATAAGCAGCTCAAACAAAGCACAAAACCAGAGCTATTTTTATTAGCAAGCATCAGCATTCAGATCCTCGAAGAACTGAAGCAGAAGTTCAGCAACAAGCTTATTTCTGGAGTATTACTTCATTTCAATTGTGGAGATTAACACTTTAAACATCAACTCTTGCATCAGCTTTGATGTACACTGGATACCAAGGGCAAGAAAATCTGTGATCTGTGCACATCAGGAGAACTGCCTCCTGCATTACAACAGGGGTTTGGCTGTTTTTTTTTTTTCCTCTTGGCAGACCTGTCTGGAAGAATTTAAAGGATGCTTTACAAACCACACCTTGCTTGAACCTTGTCTCCAATGCTAGGGAAAGCAATTAATTTACAATCAAGAAATCTAATTGAAGACTCTGGAGGGTTCACAGTCTTCTCCCTCAATATGTAGAAAGCAACTTTTTCTGCACCAGCTCAGCTAGACTCTTCAGCGTGATGGAACACACAGCAAATACCTTCAAACCTGATTCTAAAATGGTGTTGGGACTTTCATGTCCCCATAGTCTCTAAAAAAGAAATTAACATAAGTGGAGTAGAATTGTTTGCATCGTACAGTAACTGCATAAAGCCTACCTAAAGGTACAGCTGTCCTCAGTTAAGCTACCTCCCCCCCAGTCTAGAGAGCTTTTATTTAGGAAGGAGCACAACATGCTCCTCCTTTGGTGACTACAAGATGTACTTTAGTCAAAACAAGGAATGGGTATTACAGCACATCATCCTTGCTGATGAGAGCTACAGAATGCCAGATTGCTGCCACAGCACAACACTCAGCAAGGACTCAGTCCCCACAAGGCTACTTTTCTCCCTAAGGAGAATGCTTCAATTAACCTGCAGGGAGCTGCTGCCCTTCTCTGCCTCTCAGCATGTTCACCTGTGAGAGCTCCAGCAGGAACACTGTTCTCAGTTTATTACTCTCCAGGAAGTGCTTCATCCAGGGTAGAGCACTAAGGAGCTGACAGGAATCAAATATAGTTGGCTATAGGATGGAGGAACAGAACAAAGCCCAAAGCCAGCTTTTCTAACTGCTTCTCTCCTTGCACCTACAGAAGAGCAAGGACAGTCCAAAAGAATATTCTGGTATCAAGTTGCCTGCTTATCTAGTACAGATTACTGTGCAAACAATGGACAAGAAAACCCTGCCATGGATCTTTAACAGCATTTACTAACAGGCCTGACAGTCCTTTGCTCCAGTCTCTGAGGAGCTTGCCTGCATTAAGGATGTGTGCAGGAAGCAATTCTCTTCCATAAGGATGATACCTGTGCCATAACTCTACAGGAATAGTGTACACAAATAGTGTACACAAACACACTTGATAGAAGAAGTGGGTGCAGCAAAAAAAACCCTCTATCACAGCACAGAAGACACAGGCCAAATTTGTCTGCACAAGTCAGAGGAGCCCATGCTACATTTCTACAGCACTAAGAGATGGCAGACTTTCTGTAGTGATTTGAAAGGCAGGAACAGGAGACAGCCAGTGGACAGGCCTGAATGCTTGAGGGTACAAATAACTGAACCAATATCAAAGAGGTTTCAAGCAAGAAGCAGAACAAGAAAGTCTGATTATGCTACTTCACTATGCTATTTCATTGGGCAGGGGTTGAGAAAGCAAAACAGAGAGATGAAACTTCCTTCCGATGTGGGCAGAAACAGTCCTCTGTTCATGAGATATGTAGAAAGCTTCTAGCAGTTTAGAGAATTGTAAGAAGCAGTATTAGCATCTGCAAGTGCAAGGTACCTGGCTCACGGCCATCCCAGGCAGTTTTACTATCCAAAGCTCTTAAATTATTCACCCACCACCACTTGGCTTATTGAATGATGCTGTTTACAGTTTATTCAGCAAGTCCAGAGGTAAGGATAGTGCCATAAAGGAAAAATAAAATCAAGGAGAAAAGTGTTTTTCGATTATTTTTCAATACCTGCACATACAGAACAGCCTTGCCTGCCTCTGCTTTCTCCCTGCCACTCAGTTTTAAATACCCTTTGAGCATAAGGGCAGTGAACAGACCACGTCTAAAAGCCAGTTTCCAGCTGTACAGAAGAATCAGTGGGGGATCTTACAGCAAACCAAGCACTGATGTAACAGGAGGGATTGCTGGGCTACTTACTTTGCCTTCATGGTAGAATTTGAAAAGAGCTGCTTAATCAGCTTTCCTAACACTCTGAATAATTAGCAAGTAATCAAAGTCTTGCAAGATTTTTCAGTGGAGTACAGCACAAGCTGCTTCCACATAGTTTTCCTAATTAGTCCTACAAACTATTTCATGCGTAATTGCAGGAATTTAAATACATTTGTTTCCCACTAGTTTCCAGGTGACTTTCATGCATATAAACAGGCCCTCTTTGATATTTTTAATCTTTGCATTAAAAAAAAAAAAGGCAATAACCTCAACAGAACACCAAATCACAAACAATCTTACAGCTGAGTTGTCCCTTTCAAGCACCAACAGCACGATATTCCCCTCTATCTGAACATAGCTATGCAGATAAGACTGAACAACTACTTTATTGACTTTTTTTTTCCCTCCCCAAAGAGTTTTTCTGTGGTACAAATCCTTCTGGCAATATTCTGCCCAAGAATGAGGTACTGGAAATCACGGCTGCAGCTTTCAGAGAAGTCAGCAAGTGTGAGCTCTGAGTTTACCCACTGAGAACAGACTGAGATTGCACACTATTAACACAACGCTGGGGTTCTGCAAGAAGCTTTTCTTGCCTGTAACTAACACACACCAGATGTACCACAAGTTTTAGACATGTTCTGCATTTTCACTCCCTCAGGAGCACTTTGTTCTCCAACTGTGTGGAAATCCAAAGCATGTTTCTAATGTGATATTGCTTAGCTTGTGCAGTGAGGACAGTGCTGAAACTGAAGTGATAAAGACTCTGAATTACTTTAAAATAAGCACATTCACCTAAGTTTCCAAGATTACCCTGATATTAATATACCTTCAAGATTGGTAATCAGCACAGCTTCATGCCTGTGCTTTCAGTGACTAAAGACATGCCAGCTTGGAGTGTCAACATCTAGATGACAAGTGTCTAAAATACATGTAAGAAGGTTCTGGTAACTTGATCTTTTCTAGGGAAGTAACTACTTTACAGTTAGGGCACTAGAAATAATCGATATTCAATTTCAATGCTCAGCTTCAACAGACATATGTTGCTTCCAAATTCAGAGTGCATTAGGGAAACCCCCTTGGGCTCATATTTGAGAGATAATGATTTGCTCTAAGAGTTTACAAACCCTATGGCCTAAGATCTTATGCCTTATGCTACCAACGCACCTAACAGCACTGCTAAAAGCCTCTCAGCTCTCCTACAATGACTGGCATTAAGTCAGCTTGACTTTGGAGATCTAAAAGGAAGGTCCATCAGGCAGCACTCGGTGCTTATTGCGTGTTTAAGGCTTTTAAATAGGACTGGAAAGACTGACTGTAGAGAAAATACTGTAACTAAAGTCCTTGACCCCCCCTTCTAGAGCCTCATGGAGTTGTAGGAAATGCTTGATATTTTTGGTGAAGGAGGGCCAGCTGCACTGATTCTGGAGGTCCCAGAACTGGAGGTCAAGGATCAGTCTGCTCAAATACACAGTTGATACAAGCTCTCATTAACAGTGATTTCCTTAGAGCAATCCATTATATCATCACTTTACTAAACTGGTTATCATGATGAGCTTTACTCAGTAATAGATTTCAATAGTCTTCAATCAACTTAATACACTTCACATAAAAGTGGGCACTTTAAAACTAAGAGCTATCCCTGCGTTCATTGTAAGTGCTTGGACACACAGTGAAAATGTTTCCTGCCCACGAGCTGTGACAGATATCCTTCCTATGGAGAGCAGTGGGGAGGAATGGAGAGTGAGTGAACAGGAGCAAGAGATGACTGCAACCATCCCTCACCTGCTTCCACAGGCAGTGCATGCTGTACAGTGCAGTACCAGCATGCAGACCCCATACAGAAGGCACAGATGCTTTTCCACACATCCACAGAAAGCTCTTGTGCAGCAAGGCTTGGTCTTACCCCAGCTACCTGGTATGCTAACAACAATGAAGTGTTGAACTTACAACGTACATTTCCTCCACATAATTCCTTAGCCAGGTTATTAGCCACTCATTGGCACCAGGTTTACGAAATACAGTAGGCAAAAGGATGGTGCAGTGCAGCTCTTCACAACACAAGTCAATGTGGACAAAAGATCCTACTTACTCTTTGGTCAACAGCGGGCAGGATTTGAGCAGAAAGCGGGACAAAGCAGAGTCCTGGTAGATGAGTTCAGGGGGGGCAGTGGGGCTTTTTAAATTCAAGCAGCGAACGATAACATAGAGAACAGCAGCGACTGCAGCAAGCTTCACCCCATCAAACACTGCCGGCAGCTCAGGGGTTTCCAACATCACACTCATGTTGAACCTGGAGATAAAATGCCATATTAAAGCCTTCAACCATGGATATGAATATCAATTGCCACACTGCATACAAAACTGTACTAGATACCTTCATTAGTCACTTAACAGTACTACTGAAATGCTAGTTTATCAGCTCGGACTGCTTTTAAGATGAAAGAAAGACTGTTTTGTACTGCTCAAAACACCCTGACCACAAGGAACAGATATTGGACGATGAGTTGGGAAGGAGACTTATTCCTATCAGGGCTGCACTAGAACTGTAACAGCATCTCAGGTGTCAAACCTTGCAGCCAGTCGGTGCTTTTGGGTTCTCAGCCAAGACTACCTAACTCAAACAGAAGCTGAGTGAAAAGTCAGGTTATAAAGGAATATCAGCACTGTGGATATTTCTTCTAAGACGTTCAAGTCTTGATAAGGAGAACTTGAGAGAACTACTGTGGTTAGTTCCTCAGCCTGAACTCTGCAGCCCTATGCAAATACTGCTACTAACTCCTGGGTGTGTTTAGAGTGTTAGAGTGATTACTTCATGTGCCACTGAGTTCAGAGTCTCTTTTAATTTGCTGTTGTTTCACAGCTAAAGGAGGACTAGGTTAAAATCTATCCCTTTGAGAGCTTCAGAGTAAAGGAAGTGGGGGAAAGGATGGGAGGGAGAATTAAAAAAAAAAAAAAAAAAAAAAAAAAAAAAAGCAATATAACAATACCCTTCCAGTTTGAAAACAAGTTCTTGAACCGATCTAGCTGCTTTTGAACACCTGGTTCAAATAACTGGATGAGGTTATTACAGAGAGATTTCATCCATACTCTTCCATTGGTCTTCCCTCAGCCACACAGGTAACCCCAGAAAGATACTGATAAGTGAAGCCTTACTAATGTCACTTCTCTTCAAACCAGGAGCAATAGCCAGTCCTCAGCAGAATCTTCTCTTCTGGATCCACGTGCCAAGCAACCCTACAAAAGGGGGGGAAACAAGCTGATCAGGAGCAGAAAGGCTTCATCTCTCTGTTACAAGGGAAAACCACAAAAGTTTCAAGCAGTCCCTTCACAGACATATCAACTGATTTCACTCTGAGCCACTTCAACCCTGACCCCCTTGCACTGCAAACCTCTCTTACCTTTGGAGCTGCCAGTCTCTGCCTATAGCACACTAATCCATCTGCAGCACAGGAACGTCTTCATGAGAAGGGACGGACAAAACAGTAATGAAAACTAATGCAGCTCCAGAAGAAAGCTGGACTGCAACCTTCCAGACAGATGTGACATTCCTCCCAGTTACAACAGCTACCCAAACTTCTCCACACTGACAAGACTAGAACTAACAAGGTACTGAAGTGCAAAGCCAGACTGAAGTTTCCTGCTTCTTTTACACAGCCTGTTACAGACTGAAGTTTGTAAACAGTTTCTGCCTGCTCACACACTGCATTCTGAGAAGTTCTCCATACAACACTTCAACAAGAAGGTGAGAAGCACCAGCAGGCTGAGATACAGCCACCTAATTAACACTGCAGCACACACACCAAGGCTTGTCACAGCAGTGTGATAGTACTAATAGAAGAGAGAGCTTTCAGCCTCTAAGAGCACAAGCAGTACGTACAATTAGAGCTGGATTCCTTACAGGCACAATAAGCTGATATGGAAATGGAGCTTCCAAGAAACAGCTCCAGCACTGTCTGCTCCTTCTGATTTGGAAGATATGCCAACAAGACAGGCCGTACTGAAGCCTTGCTCGTCTTCCTCTCAGGAGGACAAAGCTTCAGAAGTACTTTCTGTACTCAGTGCAGCTACACCAAAATCAGTGGAGGAAATTGGAATTGGAGGAAAAAACAAGTCTGATATGAGCTTTGATCATCAGCAGCTTGGAGAGCCACAAGTGTCTGGTATCCGTGCTGCAAGAGGACAGAAGGTGAAGAAAATGAAGATATTTAATATTGGACAACTCTAAAGCTTTGGTTTCCCAGTCCCAATCTTTGTAGGAGAGGATGGAGAAGAGTAGGCTATTAAGAATCACATTTCTGATAACTGGAATATTACACTGGTATCATTTGTTGCAATGAGGAGTCCAAGTGCAGTGCTCAGCTGTCGCACATTACCTGGCTTCCACGCTCAGGCCTTCACCAACACTACAGCCAAGTGAGCAGGAAACTACAGCAAACCACAGCGATGATGATGGCTTCATGGCCAGCAGCAGGAGAGAACTGTGCTCCTGAGCAACGCCTGCCAGGTGACGAGCACAGCTTCCTCAGCTACAGCTGAGGGAAATTCTGCTGGCATCTTCACTGCTTCCTTTAGAGAAGTAATAGAGCAATGTTACCTATGACCTTCCTGCCACCTGGACCTTCAGCCAGTTTGCTGTTTACAGCTCTTACATCACCAGTGAATTTGTTAAAAATAAAACTGGGCGTGATTAGTCATCAGCATTTTGTACCAGTGACTCAATGCAACTCACCCAACTAGCCTGCACCGTTCTGAGAGCCCTCTCTCCCACAGTCTTTGGATTACAAACACATCTTGTGTAGTACTGCTATAACCAGTTTTTGCCTGTTGCTACCTTAAAAAGTGTACTGGCTTGGAGTTGCCTAGAGGAAAATCAGCAAGTTGTTTGTAAGAGGACAGTGCTGCCTACCAAGAGTCTATAACCAAAATCACTGATTATTTCTTAGGTAGACGCAGACACCTCAAACATGGGCTAAAGGTTCATGTGTTCAGGACCTTTACCTGCAGGCTCAGACCTGAGTATTTGTGCAAGCAACTGAGATGGCATTGCTGCTGCTGCACAGCAGTCTGCAGCAACCAACTTACACAACAAATCTACTCTAAGAAGGCAACATTGCTAAGCCCAGTGCCCAGGGCCAGGCCGCAGCACTTCCAGCATCTCTCTGGGTCTAAGCCCTGGGCACATCCATCTCTGCCAGGGCAGATGTGCAGGAGCTGAGCCAGAGCACTCAGCTCTAAAATCGCAAGGGTTTAGCTTACCAAAATGGATTTGAGAGCTCTCTGCCTCTAATCACACACATCAAACGTCTCTATTTATGAGCAGTGATGAGGTCACCTTGCTTCTCTTTCGTTAAACCCTTTTTGTGTTGACCCAATGAACTTGTCAGGTTATGAAAAACTATGGATAAGCACAGCGTTGAGCGAGGCAAATTTTGATCCTGAATCTCCTCAAAACGGGCCAGCACTAACATGAACAAACAGACATTTGGCCTTTCTATATACAGAACACAGGACTCGCTTTTAGCAAGCTAGTCAAAATTATCAAAGCACAATGAGTGCAGCGCTGGGAGCAATCAAACCTGCCTCCTCATCCATCACAGGGCTTGAGATCAACACGGAGAAGTACCAGGGAGCTGAAGCTCTTGGGGCCAAGGACGTCATTTTTGAAGAAACTGAAGTGCACAATTCCTTTTCTTTTTTTTATATAAATCACTTACAGGCGTGACAGCCCTAATGAGCTACAGTTCCTCCAATCAATATTCTGAAGTCCTGTTTGCGACTGCAGACTAACTGTAAAAATCAATCACTGCAAAGCAAGCGCTGGGTTGGTGAAGCCTTGTCATTTGCCCTTTCAGCATAGAATGAAAAGCTGGAAATCTATCAGGAGATAATTATTTCTGCACTTCTGTTAACAGAATGCATCTCCTGTGCATATATAATGAGGAAAAAAATAGCCACGTATTTCTTCACAGGTAGGGACGAAAGCACCCCAAAAGGCAGTAGAGCTGCAGCCAATTCCTCACGTATGAATGGTGCCACGTATTGGGAAAGCCATCACCAGCATACTTCATCGTACAGTAAGTGATGACTGACAGCAGATCAGACTTACACACCATTGTGATCCTGGTGTGAGCAGACTTTAGGCACAGAGGTTGCTTCCTCCCCATGACTCAAGGAGGCACAGGCAGGATTTGGGCGCTGCCAAGCATTACAGCTCCTCCACCCATGCCAAAGCTGCATCAGCCCTGCTTCTGCAAAGCCAACAGGGGCATTGATGGAAGCCGCTCCCATAGAGACCTTCCCTCACGCCTTCTTATGAGTAACTGAAAACCTGGAGGACTCATTTCAGCAAAGCATTGGTAACACTTGGGGCTAAAGTGAAGGCGCAGCTGCATGGAAGCCTCTGCAGACCAAAGAACAGGCAGCCTCTGCAAAAGGGCTGTACAGGAAGTTCTTTTATGCTCAGATACAGTTACTGAAAAATCTTGAAGGAATTCAGTTTCCAGGAAGGAAGTTTGATACAAAATCTTCCCAAATACCCTCTTAACCATTTGTGCTCAAGCTCGCTAGTGCTTTCAGAGCTCAGCTGACAGCAAATACTGACGAATACCCAGAAAAGATTAAAAGCATTGAACAACCCCCTTTCCTACCCCTTCAAAATTTCTACAAAGAACTGCAATGCCCTCTTTTTTTTCCACTACAATTCAGAAGTTTCAGACTAATTTCATTTGGTTTCAGCACTTGCACATGGAAGAAGATTCTGAAAGCAAGTCTACGAGACAAGAGAAATGACACCCAGTTGTGCCTAGGTCAGGTCAGAAGTAAGGGTTGTTTTTTCTTCCTTTTTTGAAGAGAGAAGGGGAAGGCTGCGTTGCTGAAGTGAGTTCTTTAGGGAACGTTTCCAGGAAAGTCTTTAATAGCAGTCAAAGCCAATGCCTCTCCTAAAAGATTCACCATAAAACCAGAAGTTATGGGCCTGCTGCTACCACACAGGGTATTTAGACCTGTAATAAGGGGAACATTAATAAGGAAAGGGTGGGAACTTGAGGCACTACAGCGTTCTGGAATAATGCTAAGCTTTATGGCAGTGTTTCATTAAAAACTCATTCCAAAAAGCATAGAGGAGTGTGTCACAGCGTGCCTTCCTTTCAGCCAATGGTTTAAAGCAGAGAAAGATGGTTAGAAACCAACCTGATGAAAATGTAAGTAAGGAATATATGCCCCTATACATCTGGGAAAGCCCCTGAAGCAGTGCCTCTTGACAGGAAAAGGTGCCAGAGTAAGGTTTGGTAAAGTGCTGGATGACAGCTGGAGGGCAAAGCAGCTACCTGAGTACACAGGGATTTAAGAGGAACTATGAAAAAGCTTCAAGCTTCATTGACAACCCAGTATCCTGTCTTCTACCAAACACTTTTGATATAATATATCTATTTTCCAGTAAAAAGTGTTAAGCCTAGACTGCTACTTTCAGATCTCCAAAGGAATACATGGATACAAATACATTAGGGCCACAGTACCAGCCTCATCATTTCAGGAACACCACAGAACCTATTATCTTCAGTGGTAGCTTTAATGAGAACATATCAGGAACACGCTGAGATCATCTGGACGCGCTCCTCAGCACTTCTGGCCATTTAAAAGAGGCAATTGAATATCAGACCTCCGAGCACAGAGGGATTAATTAAGAGTCAGCCAAGCACTTTGGGCACTTAGACTTTCAGATGTGACCAAGAAAGGCAAAGTGCAGTCCTCACCAGAGACATCATGCACCTATCAAAGCCCAATGCAGTTTTGTCATCAGACATGTGACAGATTTGTTATCTCCAAACAAACAGGGCATGCTGACACGTACTTTTGTAGGGACGCTTACTGGAACAGTATCTGGACAGTACACAAGTGCTCAGTGCAAATCCCTCTGCCTTGTGCCAAAGGCAGCACCCAGGCCAGGATTTGGCTGGCTGGTGAGCACACAAAGCAGCAGGTAGTGTTTACAGCACCATCTGACAAGAATTTGTTGGCTGGCGTCTTCACTGGAAATTGACCTTTCCACCAGATACAATTCTTGGCTCATGCACAGTAGCTGGAGGTGCTGTGAGGCCACAGGGACAAAGTTCATTACACGAGGCAGCATTGGCACAGCCAGAAAGACAGGTGTCTAACTGCAGCTTTTTTTTTTTTTGCCCTTTTGACTTGGAGAAGTCAAACACATTCAGAGCAGAAGCCAAGCACCTCAGAAGGCAGGGCATACATGCCAAGGCAGCTAGCTTGAGAAAATACCTGAAAATAATTCCATAGCCCACAGGGCTAAAGACTCCTCATGTCTTTCACTTCCCCACAAAGGTTAATCTACAGGCAAATGAGCCTCAAATTTCACTTCCTACCAAATGACAGAACTGCTTTTGTTTCTTCACAACATCATTTCAACGTATCAGAATGGTTCTGCTGTATAGCAGGCAGCTTTTGCATCTTAAGTAAGGAGAAAGATGGCATATACTGGAGTCTACACAGCAAACTAGCTGGATCTTGTCTGTCACGCATCAAGAAACACCATATTAGCTTTTGTTACACACACCTGGTATACAAGGTTACACTAACACAAGACCATTAAAGCTCTGATGACTCCATAGAAATCAATTAATTGCATCTTATCTTATCAGAAAGGCTTATGTTCTTTAAGCAAACATAATTCATCAGTTACTGAAGAGACTTAGGACTCTGACACACCCTAATTGCTGCATCATGGAACTACGAAGCAGAGCTCTTTGTAGAAGCTTTGAGGGGAAAAAATACTGGTTAACATCTTCCTGCAGTCTTAGAGCCCGAGCAAGTGCCAATAACCTAGCACATAGCCTTGTGCCAGTGGGCAGCATTAAGCTGGGGTGAAGGCCAAATTGCAGAGAACCTCAAAATCCCCACTCAGAGTGGATACTATGAGTACCAAGCCACAAACAGTTAAGTGAGCTAATATGAACTGCATTACAGATTGAAAAGCACCAGAAGAATCTGCTTTATTCCTTCCCTGCATTTTGAAAGACAGCATCACACTGTCAAAGCCTCATTTGTCCTCAGGCTTGATCCCTCCACCCCCATGCTGTCAGAGCTCAGAAGAGCGGCCTGAAATCCAAGCAGATCTCAGCTGCTGCATGCACAGCAGTCTGGATGCACAGCAGGGAAGCACCATCCATCGAGCGAAGAGGAACCAGACCAACCCTGAATTAAATGGCCAGAAAACACCAATACCTGAACATTAACAGAAGCTGAGGTGCCACTTCACAATGAAGTCTTCAAAAACTTGCTTATTTTCCCCCAGCTGAGCAGCTCTGCTCCACTGCTGTACAGAAGATGCGCAGAGCCATTCACCCTGAAACTGCCCATGGCAGAAGGAAGGCTGATGCTCAAAAAGTTTGATTCACATAATTGCATTCAGAAACAAAACCATGGGTCAGGATAGCACAGAACACAGGGAGACAGCACCTGACCAACACCTACCTCCCCCCACTCAGGTTTTATCTGAATGCTGAATACAGCAAGCAGAGGTTTTGAATTGTCAGAGCAGTCGCCAACAACTTAAAGCTGGGAGAGCTTAACTGCCCTCTGTCCTGTTGAGTGTGAATGGGAGTTGGGGATATTACAACCACCGGTCTTTGGAATTTCTCTTCACCACTTACAAGGCTGCTCACTTTGTGCATCTGCTTTCCCTGATACGTCCAACCAACACATCACAGAACAGGGTCTTTCAGTTTAGGAACAATCAGACTTGAATGCTCTTGGTGCAATTTCTCTGCCAACTGCGCTGTGCTGAAAAGGCATACCTGGAAGATGTAAATAAGTTCAAAAACTAGGATAGAAGTAGGGTAAGTTGTGAACAGTGAAGCCTGCAGTAGCATCCAGTCACTCGTTACTGCTGACCTTTTCTACAAGGAGCCCAGACTACACTACGCACTCAGCACTCAATTTTAATACCAAATACCCATACAGCAGAAGTTTCAGAAGGGGCTGGTTGTTAGCAGAGGATCTCAGCCTGTACTGACAGAGGAAGCTGTCATTACTACTTATTCTGGACAGAACGAAGCTACGAGAATGAGAAACTCAAGTATTTGTCAGCAGCAAAGCAAATTTCCAGCGCTAGGTGCTTCCTGCAGAATCTGGAAATGTGCTGAAAAATGTGCTCTGTGTTGCAAAGTATGACACTTCTTCCACTGCTGTTACTGCTAACAGAGCACAGGCACAAAGATGCTTCAAGCACTTGGGTCATACAAAATGCTTTGTAAAGCACCTTGCTGCCCAATGCTGGCTAAGGAACCTGCTACAGAGATTTTATTTTTTTTATTATCAAGTCAGTTGATACAGATGGAGAAAAGACAAGCCTTTGGGCAAACAAGCCTTCCTAGAGATGAAAGAGCCTATGATCACTGCCTGACTAGGTTAGCGTCATTCCCACCCACGTATTTTGGACAAGTGAGACTTTGTCTTCTCTAGAAGGACAGATTGCCCTTGCGCATTGAAATGAACTGTTTGGTACTGAAGTCAATCAGCTGAGTTTGATTGGTTTGTTATTTAAACTGCTTATAAGCATAATCTTCCAGAACCAGTTAGGCTGAAGTGCAAACATTTGTTCGGAAGTTCATTTTCCACATATAGAAACAGCTGATCTACAGCACGCACCACTAATAGCTGCTAGGAGCTGTACTCCAATGCATCATAAACAAGACCTTCCACAGAAGCTCAACAAAAGCGAGTGACTCCAACACTGCAGCAAAACTTGAAAGATTTCAGCTTTTGCTGGAAAGTTCACAGAATCAGTAGCAGAGCACCAGGAGCCACCAGCCATTTCCAGCACCAACAAGAAAACCTCGCTTGCCTTTCCCATGGTATTAGGCTACCTGGCCATTTCTAACATTCTAATGACATCATCAGCCTAGATTTGTTGCAAACAAGTGCATCAGGAAGGTGAAGCAGATCATTAAATGCTAAACTTCTAACTTACGACCCAATCATAAGAAGGCAGAAATAGTCTGAACTTTCAACAATGCCAGCTAAGCTATGAGACTGTTTTGTACCTGCTAATTTTACCAAGCTTTCGTGCAGCTCTCCTGTACACTCAGCTAACATACAGCACATGACAGTGCTTCTCTGATGCTTGATGTGTTTCCAAACCTGAACCAATATGATCTGCAGGCCCTAGGTAACATTGGCTGAAACTGATGTCTGCATCATTCAATTGGAACCACAAGCACTAACGACCCCAGTCTTGCACACCCCTACTACAGACTTCACTGAATCCTGTTGTTTGTCAATTTAACCCAAGTTCTGGCACTGCCAGAGCTAGCAGCATGAAGGAAGAAGAGACAGGAGGAGGACACCAAGAAGAGCACCACATCAGCACCCAAAGTTCATTATCCAGCGAGGTTAAGCTACAGAGAGGCAGAATCACTGCTGTTAAGCCACCATTTTCTACAGAACATAAAATCATATCTGTAAGCAGAGTTGTAACTTGGAAGATTTGGATAAACTCTCCATTTGCCTGTCACAGACAAATGATGTCATTTTGTCACCTTTCCCTGCCTACATCACAGAACAGTGTCCATTTCAGTGTGTTTCCAGTGACGTTTAATAATGCAGCTTTATGAAACACTAAAAACTTAACCTGCTGTAAAGTGAAAACACAGCTTTTGCAAGATGAACAGAACAGATCCATTCTTAGCTTAACTTCTTCAAAAAGAGTTCTACAAGATGGAAAGTGTTACACTCAACCTCTGTGGCACTCTGGAGGTCAGAAAGGGAAGAGATTCCACCCCTCAAAAAGACAGAACGTGGCAATCCTCCATCAGCCTCATCCGCTATCTAGGTAATTCACTGAGGAACGCTGAGGAGCTGCCAGAGCAAAAGCTTAAAAAATGACTGTTCTTAAGGATGAGACAGGAGAGCAGAAGGACCCAAACATTACCTTTTAGCTCCTCGAAATCCCTCCTGTTCTTGCTGCTGTCTCTGGGTCTAAAATAAAGGATGGATGGATGAGGAAAGGCTGCATGCACTGCTGTAAGGAGGGCACAGATCACTTACTCAGGCTGCTCTCGTGAGCACCCAAGAAAGAGGCTGAACGAGATGAGCCGAGAAGAGACCAACAGCCACCCAATACTATGTCAAGCACAGAACGGCCCACCTGGGCACAGGAAGCAATAATAAATAAATAACCACCGCAGAAGGAAATGATACCTCCAAAAGTCAGACGTGAGGAACGCAAATGGCCCGAGGCTGCGATCGATGGGCAGCACATCAGCAGCGATCACCGCGCGCCAACGCGAACAGCGCCAGCAGCGTGATAGCCACCGATAAACGGCACCGCAGCACTGCGCTGATTACTACAAGGCACGCTGCCCGCAACCGCAGGAGGTGGCGGCGATGTGGGAGCACGATGTGATCTGTAGGGAGCAGACGGGAATCGCTGGAAATTACCGCCTGAGCGACCGCGCAGCGACAATAAGAGGAAGCTGTTCGAGGAGGGGAACTCAAACACAGAATGAAACCCATCCCCCACAGCCTCTCCGAACGCGAACGGGCGAGCGCGCCGCAGGGCGAATAAAGCAAAGCACCGCGGGAGCCGAGCCGACCCGGCCGCCTTCGCCCAAGGACGGGACCCCGCCGCCACCCCTCACCTGCAGGCCCGGCCGCCGCCACCGCTCCCACCCGTCTGCGGCGGCCCGCTACCCGCGGCCCCTTAGCAACCTCCCTCACCCTCCGATTGGCCCCATCGTCACGCCGCTCGCGCTCCACCCCGCGCGGCGACTGGCTTGAGGGGAAGGTAGAGGGCACGGCTGCTCCTGTGCCATTGGGTAGTGGCGGCGCGGCTGTGTGGGGACGTGCGGTTTCATTGACTGAACAGCCTGTCAGTCGGGAGGCGGGCGGTGATTGGCGTGTGCGGAGGGGTGGGGCGGGGCTGTCGGTGGCTGTGGGGAGCCGCGGCTGCGGGCGCCATTACGGAGCGGGGCGGGGCTGAGGCAGGGTGGGATGGGGCGGTGCGGATGAGGCGTGAGTCTTTTCTCCGCTCGTTTCCTGCCGTTGGGGTTGCACCCCTGCCGCAGGGAGGGCGGCCCCAGGAACCGCCCCGGCTGTCAGTATCACGAGGCTGGGCTGTCCTGAGGGAGCAAAACGGGGTGCTGGCCGCTGGCATCGCGTCAAAGCGCGTTCAGGTGCGACACAGCGGTAGTAGAGGGCTACCGTGTGACCGACTAAAGGTGATCGTGTAGCAGCGACGTGACCCATTTAGGACTTCCAAAATGGCTACGTGTCTCGTCACCGGGCTGTGGGCTCACCTCAGGACACAGAGCTGGCTCTGGCCTGAGCAGAGCCCCGGGTCCAGCAATAATAATAGAAGAAATGTCTGCAATGCGATGTTTACACGCTTAGTTCTGTTGGTAGTGTCCCAGAAGAGCTGTGTGTTCTGGTCCCAGTAACATCAACATCCTAGACGTGTTTTCAGTCGCTTTATATAAGCAGATGGAAAAATCCTTTCCCTGATGTCAGTCATTTCATTACCTCTGTTTACCGGGAATTGGAGCTCCCTGAAAGCTCTCAGTCACATTTTCCAGAGTTGTGTATCTGGAGAGATGAGTAACTGCTGTGCACTGAGTCACGGTGAGGGAGGGAGCAGTGGGAAAGGCAGCCAGGGCACTGCTGGGTGATGCCGTGCTCATCCCCACATCCAGATGCCATCTGCACCTTGCAGTTGAGCTCAGCTCCTCATTGGCGGCTTTTAATTAACCTTACGGCAATGTCTGGGGTGTACGGTGGCTGTTAGACTTGATGGTGACCCAGCCGGGCTGAAGTTTGCTGTGACGGAATGCAGCTGAGTTATGCTTGTGATTAAGCTGGAAGATAGGCTTATTAGATAAACTTCCGGTATCAGCCTGCTACCCAAGTATGTGAAGCATGTTTGAGTTTGATTACATGCAATTGCAGTCCAGCTGATTCAACTGTACCTTGCTTCTCACCATAGGACTGCAGGAAAACACAGAGCAAAGCAGTGCTAAGCCTCCAGGCAGGGCTTTTACTTTGAACCCCTGAGGTTGTTGGGCATTTTTCAGACCTGAGAAAAGCTAGGCTATTAGAAGAGAGCTTTCAACACACAAAACAAAACAAACTCTTATCTGCCCGCTTCATGCTGAGGGAGAGAAGTAAAACGTAAGGCAGCCTTTTATATCAGAGGTGCTCAGGCATGGTGAGGAGTGAGATCTGAGAACCAGAGAGGAAAACACTGAATAGGTGGCAGCAGAAATTCACACATGGATGTGACGGTGGGCCCAACTGCTGAGCTGTCTGGTTACTGCAAGAAGAAGGGATGTGGTGAAAAGCTGTTGAATCTCCAGATAGGGAAGGAGGAACCCAGGAGAAAATCAGGCTGTTTCAGCTGCGTTTTCTAGTGTGGGAGCTGAGATGGATGGAAGGAAGCAAGCGTGTTAATGAATGCACTCCCTGCTGTGGGCTGTTAAAGCTGCCTCTGAATCGTGTCCTGCAGAGGAAGCTGCCCTCCCTTTGAGTGCGTGGGGAGCTGATGTTGCTGCAGCCAAACCCATGTGATGATTAGCATGGCATGGCACGGCTTGCTGGTGTGGGAGCAGTGCTGTGCACAGGAGGTGGCTCACAGCCAGGAAGGAGCTGTGCCACTCGTAGCACACAGCTCTTGCTTGGGAAAAGCCATCCAAACAGTTGCATAAACCATCCTGGAAAGAGGGGGTGCTGGGAAGAGCCAGCTCCATTTCCAGACTGCCTACCTCAAAGGGAGTGATTTGACAGGTCCAGGCCAGCAGGTCCTTGTCTGATGTTCCTGCACCAAAGTGGGGTGGGGATGTCCAGCAGCACCGTGATGCTTAAGGTCCTTCTCTGATTAGCCTGGGTACTGCAAAGGAGGCCCAATGCATTGCTTTGCCAAGTGGCATTGTGCACTTAGCCTCTATAGAGTGAGGTCAAGAAAAGGTTGACTGTAATTTTGCCTTTAAAAACCCAGCAACTGGGGAGGTACCAGGCAGAGAGAACTTGGTGCAGTGCGGGGCCAGGCTGACACTCACCTTGTGCAGTGACCTTTTATTCTTCACATCTCTCTCTTTTGGCCGCTGCTGCCGCAAGGATTTCAGGCTTCTCTACTTCATTTCACTGGCCCAGCTTTTCTCCTACTCAGCAACTCACGATGCACTGATGAACTTAAGGACACCCAGGGAGTTTGAACCTCTCAGGAAACCTTTTTGCTGGAGGAAACTTTGGGGCGTTGATCTCTGCCACCGCAGCAGCAGCAAAGAGGGAATACAGGGTTCGATTGCCAGCTGAAAGGAAGTGAAGTGTCTGTCAGGGACGTGTGAGCACAGAAAAGCTTTTTAGATGGAAACAAAGGCAATGATTTTTCCTTTCTGCCTTCTCTGCCATTCCTATGAAATACTGACTTGCCGGCTGCAGCACTCTGCTGTTTGAGAGCCCGTTGGATCTGGATGCACGGCGCTCTTTGGACTCTTACGTGTTTTCTGAAAACGGTGTCTAAAAGCATAATGAGCACTTTGCAGATCTCTAAATAGACCAGCCTTCTGTCCTGGGGAGCTGACAACGTAAGGAGTCAAATGCCAGGGATGGGGGAATGGCTGCATCATACAAACCATCCGTGGAGGTGGCACGTGGCCCACCTGCTCAGTATTTTTCCATCACATTCTCATTCGGTTGCTCATTGCCAACTTTCAGCTCTGTCGCTCTCTTCAGAAGTTTCAGCTCTGGGTTTATTTAGCACGCTATTTGTTTCCTAATTATAGAACTCACCGACTAACTTCAGCCTCACCGGGTTACTGCTATGCACCCCTTCATCCCCTTATAAACCAGAGTTTCCTGATCTCGTCTTGAATGTCTTCTACCCCATTGCTAGAGACATTCTGACTCTTTTTTTTTCTTCTGTTGTTTTTTTTTTTTGTTTGTTTTTTTCCCTGCCAAACCAAGAGGGCTCTGCTCGCCAGCACAAGGACCTTCACTAATCGTTTCAGAGCAGATTGGCTGTTGCATTCTTTAGGCCAGAAGAGAAATACCACCCAGCTGAGCATTTTACCAGGCTGCGCTCAGCTGCTTCTGTCCACAGATTCCTGACTACCAGCTCACTCCTCTCACCCCATGTCCAGCCACAGCTGCTGGCTGGAGGGAGAGGCTTTGGAAACCATTCTCCCGCACCAGCAATGCCTCTGGTTCCTGCTGCTGGGTGCCCTGTGGCACTTGGACACTGCTGCCTCCCCAGGAAGTCCCAGCCTTGCAGAGGAGGGGTCCCTCTCTGTATCTCTGAGATGAATCCATGCCAAAACACTCCTGGGATTTCCCATGAGTCTGGGGAGGTGAGATCCCAGACCTCTGCACCAAAAGCTGCCGGGCTGAGCAGGCCTGTTCCCAACAGGAGCCACCTATGATACCGCCTCTTGTTCGTTCAGAGCCATTCCTCCCCTTCTGTCCCAAATTTCGATACATTAAGACACAGCTGCAGGTGCCAGGAGGTGTTTTGGTGTTCTGGGGAGGTGGAGTGCAAGCAGCAGGTAGCTAGCAGGCAGTGAGCAGGGAGGGGAGATGTTGGTAGAAGGCAAGATGGAACAAATGAATGTAGCAAAGCCAGAGAGATGTATGAGCTTCTCCTGGAGTACTTCCAAGATGTCATACTGAATAAAGGAAACTGTTTGCCTTCCATTTAATTCCAAGTGGTCTGTCTGACATTTGCCGTTATGCTGTGTTCTTGAGGTTGGAGTTTGGAAAGGCTATGATTATCCAGCCTCAGAAAGACAGCAAGGGAGGCTGCTAAAGCCACACTTTTTCAGGGACTGCTTGTGAAATACTGTGGAAAAGTTGCCATAGAAGTGGTGATGAATTGAGAAGAATAAGCTGGGGACTGCAATGCTGCAAACAAAAGCTCAGGGAAGTGAATAGTAGGATTATGGGTCCCCTGATTTTTTCCTGCTTTGGGAAAGGGGAAGAGCTGCTTCTGGTGTTTATGGAAATGAAGTGAGCAGAGGCGGAACCACTGCGTCATGCCAAAATAGTGGGAACTGGGATAGGCTGAGAGGTGGGGGTTTGGATGATGGTGGGAACAAAAAATGAGGGTATGGTTTGGGGGACGGGGTGATGGTGATGGGGAGCAAAGAGCCAGAGCTTTGTTTTATGGAGGTGTAGGAAGCTGGGAGGGATGTTGGGGCAGGGGTGATGGGATTGGGTTTTGGGGGGAGGAAACTGGCTTGTTGCTGGGCTGGGGAGGTGAGTGGTGTGTGAGGGGGTGGGAAGATGGAGAGAATGCCTTGTGGTGTTAGGAGGCAGGGGAAAGCTGAGGGTTGGGGGCATGAAGGAATCCCCGTGTGC